AAATTGATTCTTTCAAAAGATTTGTTGGGATGGGGTCTAGGGTGCAGGTTTTAGGTGAGCTTTTGTTGATTACAGCAAGAAGTTCGCTCGAGTTGGTTGGCTAAAGTTTGATCAGAGGATTGAGGCAACGACGAGGAGGAACAGGGCATGCATCAAGATGACTGACAGAGGCTTGAGAATCAAGTTCAGACCGAATGTCATAAATTCGATCGCTGAAACGTTAATTCCGAGCTGAGGACTGCTTACAAAGTTGATTTTCTTCAGCACAACGTTGCATTGCGCGACTTTTCCGCTTGATTATATTTGTAGCCAGATAATTAGAGTACCAATTTATGAAGACAATAGACGATTTTACCCAGGCCGTTTATAGCCGATTGTAAAAATGCATCAGCGAACGTAATCTGAGTGTCTTTTATTTTTTTGGGATACTTCTCCATAATTTACCGAAAGTAGTCCCCGCAAATTTCTGCACTTTCTGAAACACTTTTCGCAACAAATGTTATATTACTTGAAAGGGTACTAAACAAGCTACAAGATGATGCACAGTTTTCTATCTGAAGATATAATTTCGGTGTAGAAAAACAGGTTTTTAAATTTTTTATTGTTGCATTAATGTGCCTACTGTAACAAGTCTAACCCTCTTGGTTTTGTGTAGATATGTACTTGAGTGATATATACGGTAAATATTGTTGGAAAAAATTATTTTATCTATTATAAATTAACTCATTAGATACAACTAAACTAGTTTAAGGCATAATATTTGGGGAAATTTTTTTTGGACATGTCTGGGTTTTAAACCACTGTGTACCGGTACATTTATACCAGACCTGTATGACTCGTGACTCGGACTTGGACTCAAGTACGACTTGAGTCCCATTTTCTGTGACTCAGACTTGGAATCAAGTCATGATGACAAATGACTCAGACTCGACTCTGTAGACTCAGACTTGGACTTGGACTTGACCTGCGTAACTCGGGACTGGACCATAATGACCACAAATCACTTATTTATTTTAACAATATAATTACTAATTATTTTGAAGGAAATCCTTTCATGATCAAGCGATACAGTTTGTGCAGTGCAGAAGAAACACAAGTAAGTACTTGTATGAGTAATGTGCATGCACATCGTGTGCGTCTATCTCATGGGTTGATCCACGACACAATTTTTTTGGGGGGGGGGGTGGGGAGAATGTTAGTCCCCAGAGAGTGGGTCCAAAAACTTATGGCATGGGGTTTGGGGCCTGTTTTAGGGCCCCATAATTTTATTTAGGATGCTTGATGCTCTGTGGTGCGATCTGAGGTAGTTCTGGAAAAGATGTTGGTGTACTCAACATCCATGCCATCACCACTGACAAATTTTTCAAGCGAGCGCTGTGGACGGAATACTGAAGGTTTTTTATGTTGGGCATTGGACTGACTCTCCATGCCTGCTCAACAGCTGCTGTATGCAGCTAGAGTTAAACTTAAATAAAAATGAAATGAGTGTACGCAGTGCCTTCCTCGAATGCGATGTCACTTAAAAAAAGAAAAAACAAATGGGATTTTTTTTGGGGGGGGAGATGGCCCCCTTGGCCTCCTTTGGATCCGCCCTTGGTCTGGCTTGATTCCAATATATTGATTGGGAAAATCAATGTATTGAAACATGTACCCCGATCCAAGTGTGTATTTGCCTGCAATCGGGGACCCCCTATTGTCCCTCTTTTGTTTGTACCTCAACTTTGTAGGAAGACCTCCCATACGTTTTGTACATGATCGCCAAATTGGGGACCTCTCTGGAATTGGGGATTCTATTGTCCTCTATTGTTCAACAGCCCCCATTGAATGCAGAAACAAACACACACATAGAGTTTTGTTTATGTTGTAAATCAAGGATTTTCTATGGTTCCTCTTCCCTTTAATTTCCTTTGTTTTTGGAACAGCTCTCATTGGTTTTGTACACGTTTTCTAATCGAGGTCGTTGTCTATTTGGTTCCCGTCCTCAATTCATCGATGATGTTGCACGTGTGCAATTGTTTCTGACACACCAATGGTAAATTCTAGCTGGGGCTGTATTGAAGTTCTTCTCTATCTCATTAACAGTGGAACTTCATGCTGAATGTCAAGAGTCATCAGCACACATGAACAAATTAAACTTGTGAGTTATACAAAGCGGTAGGTCACTAGTATAAATAATACATAACAGAGGACCTAAAGTCTCCCTGTGGTACCCCCGGTGGTGGTGAGTTATACAAAGCGGTAGGTCACTAGTATAAATAATACATAACAGAGGACCTAAAGTCTCCCTGTGGTACCCCCTGTGGTGGTGAGTTATACAAAGCGGTAGGTCACTAGTATAAATAATACATAACAGAGGACCTAAAGTCTCCCTGTGGTACCCCCGGTTGGTGGCAGGGCCTCGGATATGTTGCCCTCAATATTCACAGACTGACTGCGTTCAATTACATATCAATCAATCAACGCATTCCTGAACATAAGCCATGTTTCTTTGTAATAGCTGTACAATATTTATAATAGTTGCTTTACAATCATGCAGTTATCCCATGATGCTTTTATTTTATTTCAATGTGTTGTATTTGTAATGTATTGTATTTGTACATATGTGTAGTCAATTCAAATTGGAGTGCATACAGGGCCCCAATGGAAACCAATCCTGGGTTAATAAATGTAATAAATAAATAAACAAACAAACTGTGGATCAACAAATTAGTCGAGGAGTTGATAAACAAGAAGAAAGGACTATTTAGAAGGGGAAATAAAGCTGAGCTGAAGGAAATACAGAAAGAAATCAAACGAGCCATTGACAATGAAAAAAGAGTTTATAAAGAAAAGGTTGAATAACACTTCATTGATAATAACATGGTGCAAGTCTGGAATGTTTGCGTATGATGAGTTGCTACTAAAACCCTGGCAAATCCCATCAGTTGCCTACCATATCACTTGACTATATAATGAGCTTAATTTATAACCAGTTTGACTGTCGTGAATTTCGCATAAGCTTAGTGACCTTCAGAAATCCTTCGCTATCATGACCCAATTTTAACCGTTAATGAAGATGAGGTAGGCCTAAGCCGACAACTTTTATAGGGTTGAAACAGTACAGGTCAGCTGGTTCAGACATACTGTTTACTTGCCTCCTAAACAAGTGAGCTGGTCAATTATCTTATATTTTTATATATATTTGTAATCTTTGTTTCACCACCCAATCCGTTCCGAAAATTTGGAAACGGCCATGCATTATTCCAGTTCCTAAAAATAACACTGTTGCTGTTGAAACCCCTCAGCCTGGGTCAAGTTATCATCCAGAAATCATCAGTATTTAACTCACCACTGTGCCTTTGACCTTTTGATCCCCCAAAAAACACTCCCAAGGGCAACCCCCTTCTGAAATTAGAAACCCAAATCTCATTTCTAACTTGAGTCAAATTCGAAGGGCAAAACCTAATTTGATTTACATCACCCTGATGCTAAATTCCATCTTATGAATAGTTGGTTTATCATCCGAACACCATTTACGCAGTATGGAATTGTTTACAGTGCATTTTTGAAATAAATCAATTTTTGAAGCAGTCACGGCCAGTATGCCACCTTAACCTTGTGACGTGTCCAGCCTTTCCTCCTAATAAACAATTTAGAGTTGTTACATTTGTTTCATAAATACATGTATCTTCAAGTGACCGAGACACTACAAGGAGCTGAATCCAAACTGCTATTTACACTATCCAAACTCCATAGAGCTACATTCAAAGAAGGCAACAGCTAATATAAACACACTCAAAGATGCAGATACAGATACAGATGAAAAGCTATTTAAGCCACACAGTGTAAGAGCCTCATCCACGACTGCTGCATAATGCCATGGAGTGCCGATATACATGTATGTGATACTTAAAACAACAGGCTGGTCAAACACTAAAACTTGCTTAGTTCCATGGCTAGCGTATAAAACAAACTACATAGGATGGATTGTGTCTAGGATATGAACAGCTGCAGGACTCTTTGCAGGAATTGGAATACTGTTGCTTTGATAAAAACTTAAGACCATTCTATGTTCACTGGATGTAGAAATGTAATCTTTAATTATATGCAAGCCGTGTGATTACACAAATTATTGTTATGCTGGAGTTGTCAGTTGTCGATATCGCTTTTGAAAATGTCTGTATTTGAATTCTTAAACGTGGCATTAATCAAACATTCATAAATACCTCAGACAGTTTACCCATTGCTATTGGTCGAGAGGCCGTTATGTGGCTGGTCTTAAACGGATGATAAAGACATGGCTGGCTGGTCTTAAACACTTTTCCAGTGTCACATGAAATTTTGACTCCTATAAAATCCAGTGCCTTTTACCATTTTATTGGTTGAACGTTCACAGTCCTCACATAGGCATGCGCAATACTATCAGCATCTGCGCGTCATCGCACAGTACGCGATGCGCCCGCCAATCTCCATAAAACAAGTGATTTTCGTCTTACCCGCAAGCTGGACACTCCATTTTACATAGCTAGAGGGGTGTTTTGAAAACGGAGAGTAAACTTGTTTAACAAAATCATTGGACATATTTAATTTTTGTCTTGTTTTGACTATTGGACTGAAAATTTTGACTTTTTGGGGGTCTTTGTAAATTATCAGCATTTCAGACTCCAACCAGTCTTAAACATAGTATTTAACACCTCTCAAGCACAAATTTATTCCCTTACTAAAATATTCCAAATACAAGTATGTCATGTTTATAACTGGACGCTTTGTTTAGGATGTGCATGCACCGGTTGAGACGTTCTATGTTGAGAGACATACAAATCTCTGAAGACATGGATCGCTCTGTTCAACAAATGCATGAACAAGTTATTGTATGTTGTAGCGGTCTGTTTTATTCATTGACCACAATTGGCAGGCTTTACAAAATACAGGGCCTCTTCTACCGGTACATATGACTTTGTGATGTTTTAATTGTCAACTGAAAATTCAATAAAAGATTAAACATTTCTCAAGTTACTTACTGGATATACTTTCAGTCTCCAGTTCAGACCTGATGTGGTCAGCGGTGGACTGTACACTGGATCTGCTTTATGCTGCAATGCTCTAATGAACCAACGGAAGAACGGAAAAAACAAAGCACACACAAAATGAATTGTTACAAAGGTAATTTAAATTTAAACATGATGACTGGAATTTCTGTTTAAAGCCCCTATAAGCCTTATATAATCAGAACTGTCTCTGAAGGCCAAATCACACCAGACCAATGTTTCATGAGCACCTTTTAGGAAACTTAAAGCACTTGAAGCAGAAAATAATTTCAGCTTGCACAAAACCACCCCTCCCACAGAAGTGAATTGATTTTATTGGTGAGCAAACATGTACTTACACCTAGAGCATTACAGCATATGTATAAGGTCAAACAAAAAAGTACCTTTGGTTCGTGTCACCCGACCTACTCTATTTTTAAAAGCGATAAAATACAACCCCACTAAATTTACTTGGTTATTTTGAAGAAAAAAAAAGTATTATGATACCGACTTGTGATCAAAATTGGTAAAAAATTATAGGCATTTATCGGCAAGTAACTTTATTCTTTCTGGTATTATCCGAAAGAAAACATTGTGGTCCAACATCAGTTTGCATGTACTTTAAAAATACGTACATGTACGTTGTACCGAGACCACTTAGGTCTTTCGTCAAGTAATCATCATTGCAACGCAGTCAAAAAAGTCTGGTCTGTGTGTCTCTTGTTCCTCGGTACATACACAAGTGTGTGCAAGCAGCATGATATTGCATGCCAGGGAAAATCCCCACGGCAATGTCTGTGCCCAACAAGCAATTCTATTGGTTGACTGCGAGTTACACGGCCGCACAGACTTTCAAGCCTAGGGATGCCATGCATCATGAAACCTTTTGTTTGAAATTGTGGGAGAATTCATGGCAGCAAAGTGTCCTAATGATGTCTTTGTAAACCAACACTAGGTTGCTGAAAGCAAGTATTTGTTGACATTGCATTAGCCAATAGGACAATTCGTTATGCCATATCATTCCACCAATGGCCACGTGCATTGTAGACTTCACATCGGCCGCACGTCTTTTGTGGCTTTTGTTCAGCTCTCATGCATGTGCAAACAAGACTGCAATTTGCTCTAGACATCAGAGAATGTGAACATTTTCCAAAAACAATAAGGGAATTTCTTCCAGTGAAATCTCAAAATGACATTCAGAAAATTCTTTGTGAAAAACCATGGGGAAGTTGATGATGAGTTTTCAATTGATATCTCTGCAAGAGGCCAACCTGACTAACCACTGAGAAGTGTAAAGAACATTAACATGACAGTGGTTGAACTATGTTCCTTGCTTTGTGGTTGAGCTTCTTAAGAGAAAAAATGGCTCAAAAAATCATTCAAAAACACATGGATTCCCAAACATGCATTCTTCCTCACATGTATTGGCTCCAGAAAAAGAAAAAAAAATGTCATGCCGGCCAACAGGCACATTTTTTTTAACCATGTGACCCGAACCAAAGGTATTTTTTGTTTGGCTTTATTCCCCTGAGAGCGCTAGCCAGTCACCAAGATTTATTTTCCACGATACCCAGAGCCATGACACTTCCTCTTTTCTCTAGCGTACAAGCACAAGTGAACGTATACATGAGAGAAGCACTGTTTTAGGCAGGTGGGTTTGAGCATACGACATGAAAGTGTACAAGCTGGTAGGTAGGCTACAAGGAAGGATGAGTCCCATAAATGAACACCCACCACAACGGAACCAGGGAAAGCAGCATTCACCTAAAAAAGGTACAAGTAGGTAATCAGTACTACATGGCACCAGGAGAGGAACCACCTGTCTCTGTTGCGCCGCAGGGGCGGTAGACAGAAGGACTGCCCAACCGGTTAGTCCTCAGAATGCAATACACAGATGGTTGAGGAAAGACTTCGGAATTAACGCAAAGAATGGAGCTCTGAAAAACACATGTTCATGTAGCGCATGCTAAGAGCAAAGAGGAAGGTTATGGCAGGTGGGATGTAAGGGACTGTGCGAAAATCAATCTTAGTGAATGGACTGGATAGCATCCTAAGGGAAATAATGCATATGTAGTAAAACACTCCATGGTAAGTACAGCCAGTAGAATGCATTTTCAAAACAGTTCATAGAAACTGCTCAAATAACAGCATATTTTGTCCTTTGTTTCTTTTCTTAGATAATGGCTGGACCAATTGCGTGAGCATTGCCTTGTGTGACAAGGCTTGATGGCAATGAAATGATAAGCTCATCAAAGCAGTACAGTGCACTGCATGGATGAGGAAGGCAAAGTAAAAGTGCAATTCAAATAGCAATTAGAAAGTCCAAAGCAATGTCGCAAAAGCACATAGTACATGTATGTTTATTGCACAGATCAAACTACTCTGTAGTATCGAGCATGGAAGTTCGTTTCCTGTCCCATTATTATATCAATTAAATTATATATAATATTATATCAGGTTTACTATGGAACCAGAGACAGATTCCAAACTTCCATTCCTAGACACCTGCGTTCACATCAAAAGTGATGGATCCACCAAAGTAACCATCTACAGGAAGCCGACTCACACCGATCAATATGTGAACTTTGGGTCCAATCACCACCTGGCACACAAGAGGTCCGTGGTTCGCACTCTTTGCCACCGGATCGACCAAGTCATCACAGAAGAGGAGGACCGCGAGACTGAACTTCACCACGTCAAAAACGCTCTCACTGCCAACGGGTACCAACCATGGGCATTCAAGATCCCTAAAAAGAAACAAACAACTGGAGCTGCCTCCAAGGCGACCACCAATACGAAGCAACAGCCTATGGCCATTCTTCCATATATCCGAGGTTTATCTGAACAGCTGGAGTGTGTGTTTCGTGAACACGGTGTCACGGTAGCACACAAACCCTTGAACACTCTTCGCTCCCAGTTGATCAGCCTGAAAGATAAGACCCCAGACATCAAGAAATGTGGCCTCGTATACCAGATGTCGTGTGATGGTTGTGAAGACACATATATCGGGGAAACAGCTCACACTCTGCAGACCCGATACAGAGAACACACCAGTAGGTCAGCCCCCCTGACAGCAGTTGGTGAACATATATCCACCCCAGGACATAACATCTCCGTGAACAATGTCAAGATCATCGCCAGGGAGGACGACCTCTGGAAACGCAAAATCCGCGAGGCCGTGGAAATCCGCAGACACCACCCCCATATGAACAGAGATGGAGGGTACAAGCTGGCCCACGTGTACGACCGCCTCCTGTTGCGCGACCAAGCTTGGTCACGTGACGGGTCACGTGAGGGCCTCAACAACACCAGTTGACAAAGACACCGTGATGGTGTCGCAAGCTCCTGATATGAGTTCTTGTGATCAAAGTCCCAAAAAGGTATCTTTTATTTAATTTACTCTGTAGTATGTGCTCATGTGTTGCTTACAAAATTACTTTCAATGCAAAAGGTTAAGATACTTCGGGATTTTAAAATCAAATCATGATAACATTTGGATGTGTTTTTAACACGTGAATATTGTTCCGTTCTCTTGTTTTTTATATATATATATATATACACAGTACTACTAAGCATGTCAAAATACTCACGTGAAACCATTAAGGACAAATCTGCTGCTATCATATGTTGGTACCAATTCACTGCAAGACAAAAACAAACACTTTCTCACTGTCATGATTTCCCTGTCCATTGCCACACACACATCGACACAACAGACCTCGAAAGTTTGAAAAAGTTTACTTAAAGAAGGCTTATCTTTCACCCTTCCATTACCTTTGAACTCCCCCCCCCCCCCCCACAGAAGTGTGGTTGGGGTCTACCAGCGAATACTTCCCTGTAGAGCAATACTACTTTTGCACATTCCCTAGACCGGCAGGTATTTTCCGCTAAGAGTTTTATACAATAGCGCCCTCTGGTGTCCTACCCATAATGCCCCGTGGCATGCGTACCATGTGAGCGTCCTCTTTTCTTGAGCGTTAAGTCGGAATACAAAATGTACTCATGGCATCGAGAAGAGTGGGGTAGGAGGGAGGTGTGCTCTACAGGTAAGTATTCGCTCGTAGACCCTAACCACACTTCTGTGGGTGGGAGTCTACTTCACTCTGCTTACCTGTAGAGCAATACTACAGCAGTTCTTTTCTACATGTACATCTAGAAGTAACAACTGCTAACAAAACATAACCTTAGGGACAATTAAAACAGATGTGAAATAGTCCACTGGTTCAAGGAACTACAAGTCATGTTTAAAGATCTCGATAACGTTTTTAGGAAAGGTGTTAAAGAGGTTCCCTTAATTAACTGACATGAGAGTACGACTGTCTAACATAAAGCAATATACTGTCATGTTAGAAGTCCCTCAAGTGAAGGTGGTAAAAGCTGTAGCTTGTGTGAGAAAGGTCTGATGTGAACAGGATAGCATGACAGCACCCAGCACATCAGGGGAAATTCCTGCGGAGCCGTGTGAAGGAAACCGAAACTGCGCTGGAGCAGAATATTTCTATCCTCGGAAGAACCCCTGACTGGTGAACCAAGGGAATGGTTATGGCCCTGGGAAACCAATCAATGGGACCAACATGGGAGTAAAGAGGAGGACCTTGTCATCTTTTTGCTCCAGTTGCTTTAGTACCTGAGGGATAGGAGGAAACGGCGGGAAGGTGTAAACAAGCAGCCGTCTCCATCACCAATGTGTTCGTCTGCCACGTGCAGGGGTCAGGAACCCTCGCGCAGCAGACTAAAAAAATGTGACTAATCTGTGAAACAATCAGATTGACATGGTTAGTTGTTTAGCAGCTACCACTGTCAAGAGGATCCACCACCCCTAAGGAGGACGTTAGAAGCGACGTACTCCTTGTCTGGGAGGGGGATAGCCAAAAGCACGAAACTGCCATGACAATTAGTGAAGGCTGTGATCTGTGAGGCACACCCCTGTGAGGTTGGCAGCGTTGAACCATCACTGGAGGCGCTGCACAAGTCAGGGCATGACTTGCACTGGATGCAGTGATGACTGTGCCGACACAAGGAAAATAGGTGAACGTCACCACTCTCCATCTCCGCAGCGCAGCCCAATTGCCTTTACTATCTGAGCAGATGCCAGGAGTGAGGCGAAAAGGCTAAATGGGACCACCATGAATTTGTAACGGGAATCTTTGTTTGAAACCGCGAAATTCCCAATGCTCTGGCCTAATAGGAAGTTGCTGTTGTGTACCCTTCAGGTCAGGGCTGGTCCCCCATGATGACATGTATGAAAGTGGACTAAATCTCATAAACATCTCCTCAAGGAAAAACCGCGAGGGGTGAAACACTGTGTTGGCCCGATGGAATTGATGTCAGTCTCAAAGTCTCTAAGACGAGCTCACACGAAATAGACCAGTGGAGGTCGTCACGAGTCAGGTAAGTCACTTATGGTATTCACCAAAACAACTGAAGCCAAATCAAAGTTGTTGTTACCAGTGACGGCCTTAGCCTATGTGGCGTGGCACGCAGAATATATTGATAGCGCGGCCACACAACATCACCATGGCAAAATTTCAAGAGGTAAGCAGCCGAGAAAACAATTAACAGTTTGTTCGTCACCTGCGCTGGCCTGAACGTGGGTTTGATGGCATTCTGAGATCGACCATCTGAGCAGCCGTCATTTACCAATATGGAAGTAAACATCAATATCCCCGCAAAAATATTTGTCCGTTACAAAGTGGGACTCAAATCTTTGGCGGGCGACCTTCGACGGGAGAAACAGCTCATCAAGCATGTTACCCCGGTGGGTCGAGGTCGTTGGGGTCTGCACTCGTGTAAACTAATAGAGTACTGAGTGTAGACTGTGCACTTCACAGTGATTAATCCTAACGTACTTCATACTGCAAGGTGTATTCAAGGTTGCCGAGTAATAATCTACAAAGGGGCGCTTGAATGATGTGGCACCTCTACTGCTGGCAGCTTGTCGTTAGCTGCATTGGAGAGGGAAGGTGTGACAACAAAATTACCGAAATTCGGTTATTATCAGAAAACGGTTATTATCACATTCTTGCTTGTAGAGCAACAGGCATCTTGGATTCAGGCACAATCTTGTGAATGTGGTCCACACATGCCTGATCTACAGAAGCATCACAACAAGCAGTCATAGAGGTTATGTTTAGGCTGGAGTTCATTGTGAGGGTCAGCTGTCATCCGATGAACCATCCTTATGCAAGGGCCGAATTGACTCCTTAAACGAGAACCGTCTATTTCATTTGGAGGAAAAAGTTGCACACGGCCACAGTCAGTGGTCAAACAACTCCCTCAGAGATAGTTAAAATTACAGTTTAACTACTTGATAACAAGATCCTTTGGACTTTACAAATTACCTTGTTATAAAAAGTACTTTTTACAAAAGAAAACAAAGAAAATCAAAGACTTGGGACTTAACATTTTCCTTGATATAAGCATGATGTTGTATTAACAGTGCTTTTCTTATCAGGGTTCGACTGTACATGCACATGCACACTGAACGATGTACATGTATATGTGCATGTACATGAAAACTGCAGTGATTTCAGTGCAGGCAGAAACACCGACGCACGGGTGAGCACATGTGCATCGTGTCCCTTTGTCCTCGAGCCACCCAATCGTGACTACTGTAGAGGGCTACAGAGCATGGCTCGCAATTCAAATGGGCCGTTTCATCAACGGTGCCCGCCAGGCAATAGGCGCATAGAGCCGACAATGAACTCGGCAATGTAGCCCAGAACAATTGCAAGGCTTGCAATGAGTGGGCCCAAACAACCAAGTCCTCATCCCGATTTAAATTTATGATCAGGCGGAGGGGCTCATCGACGGAGGGTATTATAACCGTATCATGTCTCTCTACACAAAACGGACTTCGGATTTTGCGATGGATAGCCGCCGTAATTAGTCTGGTTCTTCGACATCATCGGCTGAATCAGCCGATTGCGAAGATCGAGTTGACTCCGGTGAACGAGAGCCGTCTGGAGGGGCGAGTTGTACAGAACCACGCGGCGGTGGCTGGACAACTCCCTCAGAGCATTCCTCCATGCTCGGAGTCAATAGACATCGATGGGTGAAGATTCAACAAAGGCGGGGATTCAGGCGCACGGCTAACTGCGTGCGGTACGTCCCGTTGTCGGTCCACCCAACCGTGGCCCATGGCTGGCGAATGTGAAGCGCTCGCCTTAGGCCGGGCCTCCGGTGCACGCAACCATGCGTGGTATACATTTACATGCACAAATGAACATGTACCTGTACATGTACATGTGTATCTTGTTGCGCTTGGGCCACCTAACAGCGACCAATGAATGACGGCTGTGAAGCATTCACTGCAGGTAGTGATTCTGAGCACGACTATGAGTGCGGCATGTCCCTTTGTTCACGGGTCACCCAGTCATGACCGGCGACTGAAGACTGTAAAGCGAAACCAACAGCCGAGGGTTGCGAGGCGTGGCTCGCTTGGGGGGGGGGGGGGGGGCAAGCACCAATAGGGCCCGCCTGGCGATCTGTAGCGAATCAGTCCTCGAGATTGAGTCATCACCACCGGAGCATTTGCCCCGGTGGGACTGGTCAGAAGAGCTGCCAGAGTCTTAAGAAGAACGGCGTGGTATCAGTGATCAGCTTTCTTCTACTTCTTTGAAGAACGGCCCCGGGGTGTGTCAGAGGAAATGCCGGAAGACATCTGGGGCACTAGGACCCCCGAACAACGGAAACTAAAACGGCGAAGCCGCCATGGCTCGCTGTCCAAGGCAGGAAGGGAGGCTGAAGGTAGGGTTGGGGATGGGCATGATGGAAGGGGATCAGGATTCTTGTTGATGTGCCTAGGTGTAGGGGTCACTTTTTAAATGTCAACATAAAAAGTCAACAGATTACCTAATAAATACATGTGTATATACATGTAGGTTAGCCGTCACTGTATTATGAGGGAGTTTTCCATTGTTAGGGTAATGGACCGATCCAGTAAGCACCGCCCCATGATATTCTGACCAATCACAGCCGTGATTTATGTCCGACATGCGTGCACAAAAGTCCGACATGCGTGCACGCGCGTATGATGCGCGCGGCAGGAAAATGCAGTGTGGCATTATGAGGAGCGCGTGTTAATTTGCCCACGTGCGCAGTGGGAGGGGCTTACTGGATCGGTCCATTAGGACCCAGTTGTGGATTTTTGCAGCCCCAACAGTGTCTTCTGCTCCCCATACTTGTATTACCATGGGAAAACTCTTGTGTAGTCGCCACAAGAATGGGTATACATGTACATGTAGACACAGCACCATCACCACCTCCCCCAAACCTTACCCCATCCCAAAACCTTACCCCATCCCCAACCCTCCCCCTCCCCCACGCAACCCCCTACCCACACCCATTCCATCCTCCCCTAACCATCCCCAACCTATCACCTACACATCCCAACCCCACCCAAACTCCAATCCCTATCTCCTTCCCCCTCCCCTGACCCGTACCCTCCCCTACCCCAACCCCCTACACCCACCTACCCTATCTTCCCTTAGCTGTCCTTACCCACCCTACACATCCCCATCCTAACCCTTACTGGAATTCCAATATCCCGCTCACCCCATTCCCCCACCCATACATCCCCATCTGACCCCATGTAACCCGTACTCTGATCCCTATATACTGCCCCTCCCCTTATCCAACCCCTACAACAACCCATCCCTACCCATCCCTACCCATCCCCAACCCAACCCAACCCCTACTCCGATCCTACCGGTATATCCTGCCCCTGCCCAACCCCCTCCTAACCCAACCCCTACATCCATGCCCATCCTCTCCCTACCTGTCTCCCCCTACCTGTCTCTCCCTACCTGTTCCCACCCCACCCCTACAAATCCCCACCCCACCCAAACCCAGTATTCCAACCCCTCTCCCCACCCCAACCCACCCCACCCATCCTAGCTCCCCTACTCATCCTACTCACACAAATCCTAACTCCAACCCTATCCCCCAACCCACCCCACCCCACCCTCCCCTACCCCATCCCTACTCCAACCCCATCAACTAAAAGATCAAACCAGAAGCTCATGCACATCCCCAAAATGCATAGTGTACATGTTATACCGGTATACACACATGTACATGTTATACCAGTATACATGTACATGTAACAATTAAAAACTTTAACATTTCCTTGAATTAAAGTTCCTCAATAAAATCATAAAATTTACTGCAATGATATGAACCTAACTGAAGTTATAAAGATGATACATGACAACTGCATTTAATATTTTTTCCCCAAGTTAACTACAACCAAAAACTTCAACATTTTTATCTGAACGCGGATGGCCGGATGGACGGACGTTCCAGCCAGACGGAATTGTGGGGTGATAGCATTGTGTTCCCATTATCCCTTTTTCTAAAGATTCTCTTCTGGGGTGATGTTTTTCTATTGTGAAAATAGTGGGGTGATGTGTCCTGAAAGGAACATCACCCCACAAGGGGGGTATGGTCAGAACGGGCGGACGGGCGCCCGGACAGACGGACGGAAATTGGTATTACATAGGCTCGCATCTGCTTCGCAGCTCGCCAAAAATCCCGTGCAATAGCCCGTCCCGGCAACCAGTGGTACTTGTGTCTGGACGGCACGGGTGACTAGAGCCCACTGAAGCATGGCGGCTATTTCCCTCGGGCTGCCCCGTGCTCGGGGAAGTGCCAGGTTATAGCGTAGCTCATAGCATACCCGGCCGACAGCGTCTCAGGCCTCGTTGGCTGAGCGAGCGCTAGTCGGTCCGATAGCCCATGCAAAAGCCCGTCCCGGCAACCAGTGGAACGTGGCACTGTTTTGGAAGGGCATGGGTACGGGTGACTGGAGCCCACTGAAGCGTGGCTGCTAGTCCCTTCGGGCTGCCACGTGTTCGGGGAAGGGCCAGGGGCTATAGTGGCGCTCATACCCGAGCCGTGACGCCTGCCCTGTCTGCCCTTTTTAGGCATTGCTTCGGCACAGGAAGTATGTTTTATAGAAACCTTGCCGGAGTGTGCTTTCTGTTTGGGTGTTCCACTTGAATTGACAGGAGAAAGAGACCGAGGTCCCTTTAACTGGTCAGTGGAACTGCCAACTCCCCCAGTCGGCAGTGGCTGAGGGTGCTGGACAAGGGACTGCTGCTGCGGTAACGATGCAGTGCTAACGGCAGAGTCCCCCCGAGAACTTGGTCCGTCCCGTGGGAGAGCAATTCTCCCCGGTTTGTGACAGATCGGTTCTCCCCAAACGCTACATAATAACTGAATAAATACAACAACTAAATCAAAAAGACGACGAGAAACTCTACAAAGTGTTGTTATTTAACTCTTTTAATAAATAAAACTTCTCTTAGGCGAAAAAAGGGTAGCAAAATGACAAGGAAAACAAGAGCTATTTTACACACGTCCTACCCGACCCGCCGCTAAGAGAAAAGAGGACGCTCACGAGGCAAGCATGCCACGGGGCATTATGGGTAGGACACCAGAGGGCGCTATTGTATAAAACTCTTTGCGGAAAATACCTGCCAGTCTAGGGAATATGCAAAAGTAGTATTGCTCTAGAGGTAAGTAGAGTGAAGTAGACTGTTAACTTTCTGTATTCAGTACAACTGCCCTTAACAATATATTAATAATATACCAAATATTTCTTAACAAACAAAACAATATTTCATCTTGTAATATATTTCATTATAAGCTTAATTTTTGAATACTATCTTACAACTTAGAAGTGACAAGTTTGTGGCCTTAGATAGTAGGAGACAAGCTTTGTACAGATTTGACTGATATTGTATGCAGTTCAACTTGTTGAATGATTACACGGGAAATTTGAAGTTATTATCTTTTCTTGTTAATCTGTTACAGATAATTAACCTTGACAATAACCAGTTCCTGAGATCCTGAATAAAAAAATGCAGTGGGGGAAGCTGACAAGGAGGTGCACTTCATCTTCGGGAAGAGGTGGTAGTCAGAGGGTTCCAACTCAGGAGAATAGGGCGGGTGTTTGATCAGTTTGAATCCACATTGCTGGAAAAATGCGGCTTCCCCAGCCACATTTTTTGATTCAGGATCTCAGGAACCAGTGACAGTCAAGGTTTAAATATCTGTAACAGATAAACAAGAACACATAATAACTTCAAACGTTCTGTGTAATCATTCAACCATTTGAACTGCACACAATATCAGTCCACACTGCAGAGCTAATCTCCTTCTACCTTGGGCCACAAACTTATCAATCACCCCTCAATGCTCATACATACACTGCAGCTTCTCACTGCTGCTTTTTCCATCTGACATTGACTGAACACAGCCACTGCAATGCCCAAGGGTCTCTAAAGAAATGTTTAATGCCCATGTTTTTAATTATGATAAATTGCCATGTGGTTGCGAAGGCCGATTTCTAAAGGTTACATAATACTTTATTTTGAGTGAAACAATATGCACACAAACACATTCACGTTTGCGGGCGAAATCTTTGAAAATCAGTTTCTCCTGTTTGGAAGACCATATCTTCATGCAACTTTCAGGGTTTGTTTTCCTTATCATGATCCGACCATGTGCTAAAAAAAAATAAGTTTGATATGTTCAGTACTTTTTGTTGATACTGGGAAAAAAATGCATTTTAAAAGTTGTAACCCTGGTGTTTGCAATATCTGTCAATCTTTTCAAGCCCTGAATATTTATAAGGTTCCTATCCATTATGGTGTGCAATAAAAATTGCAGAATAGCCTCCTTCAGTTAATTATCAAATATCACCCTTTTTTGCTGGTTTCCATTGGTCGATACCGATACCCACATGAAGTCACGCCGAGTCACGCTAATGAATATGCTAATATGCTTTTTGTCATGGTTGCCCCAAAATTGGCCAACCTGAAAACCATGCACACGAGTTGATTTTGTCATGAAATACAACTTGAGGGTATTTCCAGAAATTGAGATACATAAATAGATTTGAGGATGTTTTCGAATGATTTCTTCCAGACTTGAAGGTCGCTTTACCAGTAACCAATATTGATGTTTCGGCATTGATGACGGCAATTTTTTCTCTGACATGAAGTTAAGAATTTCTTTTTCCGTTATAATTTAACATTCCAATCATACTGAACATATTTTCTGAGTAACACAACGTTCAAAAAGCCACGTTTTTGGGGGGAGCATGAATTTCACTGCTCTGTTATAACGTCCAAGTACGTAATTGGATTACCTTTGTTTCACAACGGCGACACTTAGGCCTTTGCAACCACCCTGTAAATGGATATGCTTTTTAATAAACCAAATGTGCATGTATGTGACATGAGAACACATTATGACAAGCTCATCGGGGAAAAAAATGGTCAGATATTCTTGCTTCAAAAGCCTTTCACAGTGGAAAATGGATTTTGATACAGATTTGGCTTGGGTATCTAATTGCTTCTGATAATTCATTCCATCATTTACCCAAAACACCATGATACAAGTCTTACCTCATGAAATCAGCAGGGACGGGTGCTGTTACAAAAGATGCCATTGGCTTGCGATGAACTTGGGTAAACATCTGTAAGAGCTCAGCACTCTTGGCAATTAATTCACTCTTCGTGCATGATCGTAATTGGTGTTCTACTTCCTGCAGGAGAGACTCCAACAGCTCTGTCTCGTGAGTGAGTGAATTTTTCTGACCTGTTCACAAAAATATGAAGCAGCATTCTGAATTTGAATGTGTCAAACATGTATTGACTTTTGATGATAGGTGTATGACAGCAATCTGACCTTAACTGTATCTACAGGACCATAGACTGATACATAATTTTTCATTCAATCCCATACAGGGATGAACTTCTCCATCCAGGGCATTTGAATGCATGTATGTTGGTCAGAACCGAGTACCTTGGTCTCTTTCATCCAGCAGTTTTGACCACTGAAGATTACTATAAATCAAATTATCAATATGTACAGATTTCTAACAGGAATACCAAGGTGTAATTGAGGTGAAACATCTGGGGGAAGGGGCATCTAGGGGAAGGGGCACCTGGGGGTGCACACATTTTTTTCAAGGGGACACTGGAAGAAATTGAGTTGCAGCTTACCTTTTTCATTTTTGGATTATCTCCAACTAAAGTTAGTTTCGTATTACTAAAACAGTGAATTTTGTTCTCAATTTACTTGGAGCAGGGACAGTAACTACCTCAAATAGTAGTATGGCATTCAGTGTTTCAAAACTTGCAACACATCAACTACTAGGACTACTAACGGCGAGCTTGATGTGTTCGTGAAATTATGCACTCCTGGCCGTTGTATATCAGTTTGTTGAATAAAGGGAAAACTATCTCTGTTATCTGGTTGGGACCAGATGAGACTTTTCTAGGTTTATCAGAAAACCTAACCTTGTTGTCAAGTCGATGGTACATGTAACTTGCAAGGACTGGCAAACTTCCTCTTCTGATTTGCCTACGATTAACAAAAACATCTACATGTAGGACGAGGAATATCATTACGCCCGCCCTTCAAGGCACTGTTGTCAGGGTCTTTGTTACTCTGGTGCAGACCGTTGGTCAAACAGACAGAATGGAAGAATGACATACTCGAAAGTTGCATTTTTTGTACTAAAAAGGAATGTATTTGCTGTGCTCCCTGCAAATGGGTACGTGAAGATAAGCATCTTGGAGATCTATTGAGGCAGCCCAAGATAGTGTTGGGAGGGAATTTAGGACAGTGCGAAGTGTCCCCAGAACCACTGTGGGTGAATACACCTGTTAAATGGTTCAAGGTTTAGAATAAGACACCTATAGAAACCAGATTTTGAAGCCCTGGCAGGAGCTTCTACAGGTCACTTTGTGGTTGGTCAGTCTGTCCATCCCGAAATTTACAAAAGTATGCTGCTCCATATGTTGACTGTTTTCGAAGAAAGTATGATCGAAAAGTTCTTTTTCAACGTGAGTACTCGTCAGTAATCACAACAATTTTAAAAAGTTTTGTTGTAAAAAAAACCCCTATTTATCTTTAGGACAAAACCAATCTGCATCTTTTGCCACATAGCAAGATTTGTAGTGCTCCAGTCAGATGACACATGGTGGGTTACATACGGTACTCTCTCAAGTGCTGCGGGAAAATGTTGTAATTCGCTGGCACAGGCTGCCAGGCCATGCGCTAACCTTTAAGCCCGGGGACCGGCCGGGCCATCACAGCCGGCAGCAATTCCCGGTATTTATTTCTCATTGTCAATTTCCATATTTTTTTTAACGAGCTTCGACCATAAATGTTTTGATATTTTTGTGGCCCTTTTTATAGCTTTCATAGTGCAAATGGAACTGGTCCAGAGCTTTTTGACTTAAGAATTTGGAGGCCTTACAAAAATGAAACCGCTTTGGTCGGTGCGGCTTATACGCCGGTGCAACCAGTACGCCGACGTCCAATTTTTCATTTGCAGATTTTCTATGCTACGGCTTATACTCCGCGCGGCCTATATTCCCAAAATTATGGTAACAGGGGTGGGAAGTAAACCCATTGCTAATGGGGGGGGGGGGGGGAGGTGCTCATAAACTCTAGGCAGTGTCCCTGTGTGACTGTTTGGAGCACCCACCGATCAGTGCAAAAAAGGGCCAAAGTCTCCTTAAGTCAGTCAGCTGCTACATCCCCGGCTCACTCTGGAAAATTTCTGGTAGGAGATAAACTTCTTGTTGTTGTAGTTGTTGATGCTGAACTAGCCACAGTGGTTGATTGGGTAGACTTTGGTATTTGTAAAGAAGGCAAGCATTTCCTAAACCCTTTGGACTTTTGACATTTAAAACAGTCAAAACCCTAGATGTTGGTTGTGACTTCCTCCAAGGGGCCTATATAATGCGGTCCGTTGCCTCTAGACGTTTGGCTTCGGCTTCCATCATCTGTTTAGGATGATGCGCAGCCCATCCTCTAGACGTCTGGAACTTATCAGCAAACAAATCATTGTACCATAAAGGAAGGGCCTCCATGCATCTTCTTACCCCTTTTGAAGAAAAGAAGATCATTTCAAATACATTGGAACTTCTAGAGACTGCCACAATTGTAGAGACCCAAGGAGACTGATTAGGATGATGTGTAACCCATCCTCTAGACACTGAAAGGCATTCACAGCCATTGCAAGGGAAACATTGGAACTGGAATCACATGCAGTAACCAAGTACTCTGCAAAAAAAAAGCATGGATGAGGTTGTTTGCGGGCACATGCTGGATGCTGCCTCAACCTTATGTAATGTTTCTTTCAATTTATTATGGACAGGATCAGCAAAGGGAGCTTGCTGTAATTGCTTCCCCATGTCTGCTGCCTTCTTGCCTTTACAGTGTTTGGGATAACCCGAACTGTTAAACATTCCTTGGTATCCTGTTTGGAAAGAGATCACATGCTGCCTTGACAAATTTTGTTGCTGCTACTATTTCTTACCAGCTATTGCTTTAAGGTAGAATGTCAGACTAGAATCCCTTCCGGATCATTTGGGATGAGTCAACTGTTATGTCGTAGAAAGAATGGAATGTCACACCCAAGACTACATGTATCAGAACACTCTGCTCAATCCCGCCAGTAGAGGGCCCAATATAAAGACACAACATCTCCCCTCTCTAAACAAATATGTAAGAAAAGTGCTCTGCAGAAACATGTTAGCCAATCCTAACCTGAAAAGATTTTTTTCCTCGTACCTTCACCTTTTTACAAACCAAAATGCACCTGGCTTTAAAATTAACCTCTTTTTATTCCTTGTTTTACCATAATTCCCTTAACTTTACTAAAACCATGTGAGCCTTGAAATTGCAAGTCAAATTTTTAGTAAACCGGGGAGAATTTTAGAAATTCTGAGAAGTATGAAGTAAGTAATGTCAAGTGCAGACTGCAAATGTTGCAATGATGAAGAAAACCCTAGTGTCCATAATGTATGTGTTTGATAGTCTTTCATCCAGACTGGTGGTTTTCTGTCGTGAGTAGATCAGTGTACCTGTTGTCCTGTGTCCATTGCTGGTCGGCTGTCAGGTTTTGCTTCCCCAGTGGTGGCAGTGTTGTTGACTCGAGTCGCTGACTCGGACTCAAGTTGGACTCGAGTCGCTATTTTGTTGACTTAAGACTTGACTTGACTAAGGAAAAAATGACTTCAGACTTGACTTGACTTGAAAAAATATGACTTGTGACTTGACTTGACTCGAATATATTTGACTTGCTGACATTAACACGTTTCTTAAAATTACAAAAAAACACAAACCTCTGGGTGTTCGTGCACACTAGCTATACATCGTCATAGCAAATAAGCAACCAGCACAGGATAGCTGGGCATCCTGAGCATGCCACATGTCATGTACATGACTAGCACTATGGGTGTGTTATGGACAAGGTATCATACTCGACCTCGTGCATGTGAGATGAAATTTGTGCCATGTGTATGAGTACCATCCGTTGTTATAGAGCGGTTATTCCATACCGACCATACCACTTACAAATTAAGTGGTTTACCATTAGAGTGCTATTTAAATGCAACTAGGGTTTAAAGGGAAGATACAACATTTGCAAACATGAAAAAATTGATCAAATTACCACAAAATTCTTTACTGGACTGTTAGGGAATGACAGTCTAAAGCATCCCGTACAATCATGGCTCCTGGTGTGCTGACATTTTTAAGTAAAGTGGTATTTTTGTTTCAATTTCCAATTGGCTGACCAGTGTTGGAGAAAACTGTTGTTTTTTTTCTTCAAAATCTTCTCCTAATTTCTTATATATTTAGTTATTCCGCATTTTCTTTGCAATGGATTATACACCTGTGAAGGGGTACAAGCCTGCTAGACTGATTCTTTGTCCTTGATAGTTCCACAATGTCTATAAATTGCTTCATCTTAAGTGGGGTCAGGGAACCAGACTACAAGAACATGATTGGTCATTGTTGGTTTTCTTGGTTTTCCAGCATCTACGAACCCAAAACTTGAAACAAGTCGGTGTAACAATATTTGCTTTAACATACTATTCTTCCACATCCACTTATTTCTGAAAATTACAGCAAAAGCAAATGTTGTACATTCCCTTTAAACCACTGGAAATGCCTGCTACCCCCAATCCCTCATAAAGCAAAACTGATTCACATCATGCATTAAATGAAAAACGTTCAGAAGGACATTTTGTCAGACGTCCTTCAAACATTCAACATAATGGAACAAGTTTGAAAATAGTATATCGAAATGCGTCTTTAGACTCTTTAGATACAAATAAGGTGTTTAAGAGAGGATGTTTGAAAAGTATGATATATTTTTTCTAATATTGATGGCCAGTTTTTGCCCTGGCCCCTGTGTAAGTGGAACTGGCTGCATAGGGGTATTTCTCATACGTGTGGTCTTGTCGCTTGACTGGCATGAAATGCAGTTGCGTATGGTGTCCTACAGTCCTACACCAATTTATCCATGGTGGGCCACCAGCAGCAGTCTGGAAGACGTTGCTTGCAGCGGATGATGCCCTGGTGAGCCTCATGACCCAAAGTGACTAGGCATTGTCGCAAAGTGGCAGGAATGACAAATCTGCCTCCATGCACGAGGCAATTATCTACAATACAAACTTCATTGCGAATCATGTAGAATGAGCGTAGAGAGGAACCAACACAATTTTTGTGAAGCCAGCCACTGACCATATACAGAGATGAAACTGGCATATGGCAAAAAAATCGGAAAATAGGCCGAACAAAAATACGTGTCCGAAATCTGGGCCGCGCTGCAGTTACACACATGTATGCATGTACAATACACTTCATGCCCAATTTTCCGGACACCAACTCCTGCTTTATTTTCGATTCAAACAAAATTTTACGATGAAAAAAAAAGGTCACTGTTTTCATTGCATAAAACGCATGAATTATGGTGAGAGTAATGGAGTCATCAATAAAGAAATTCACTTCTCACTTGAAAAAGTCGAGGGAAAAGTCTGAAAGACAAGGGCACTGCGCGTTCATGGTGCTTCAATCATGTCCATGATTCAATTTCAACCACACAACTCCACTACTCCACTTGCATTCATATTGGGTTAAAATCAGGCATTATCGTCTTTCTCTTCCAACAAATGCCAGTGAAATGTTTTGTACAACTAAATTTGAAAACTCCGAAAATCGCACAACATAATGATTTTATCCACTGGATCGTTCACAAGGCTACCCGTTCCTGGCCAGCCATGTGCTAGCGGACGGTACGGTGCGGTACGTACACTGGTACCATTGCATATCATCTTCGCACGCACGTGCGACACAGTGATTTTTCCATGTTACCTGTCAATGTTTAACCTTTTGTTCAGCCGGAGAAGGCTCCGATCAGTGTTATGCCCTGTGTTTCTACCGTTGAAACACTCCAATAACGACTGGTGAAAGAGATTAAAATTACGTTCGTGATGATTTTAACGTGCCATTTCCATCGACTTTTCTTTGAAATTATGATTAAAATAAAATGACATTTTGTGAAAAAATCGTTACAAAATCAAATTTTGTGGGACACACTGTAAGAAAAGTTTCATCTCTGCATATAGTTCATGACTTGCTGGAATGTGCCATCTGAATGCATCGCGCATGCCTTCTGGAGGTCTGTCTTACTGACTGTATCATTTGTCAGCAATGTGACGGACTGAATAATACCGTAACTTCCTCCTCATCGCCCCCCAAGGAGTCCGTAGAGTGAAGAGGAATTCGCGACATGGTGTCGGCTACCTTGTTGTGTACTCCAGTGCAATACTCAACTGTGTAATTGAACCACATACATGTAATGTAAGGCATGTTGACCAACATGCGATTCGCATGGATTGACGACCTGATCCCCTTGACAAAAGTAGCATTGTGAGAGATTAATGATCAGTTCGAAGTACGAAGTGCCGACCCCACAGGTATTGAAACCATTTTGCAGCAACACGCAGGCTAGGGTTCCTTTTTTTCCCCACACAGTAATTACGCTCTGCAGAAGAGAGGATTTGCAACGCAAAGGCAATGGGGAACTCGTGTTTGTCCCTCACTTGTAGTAGTACAGCACTCAACACCATCCATTGATGCGTTGGTTGACACGATGACAGGTATGTCAGGATCAAATAGCCGTGGTGTAACGCTTTGAGCGATGAGCTCCTTGACTGCGTTGAAGCTACATTGTGCACTGTATGGTGTGCAACGGCTTGATGACAGAGGAGAAGTTAGGGACGAATCTCGCATAATAAGACGCCAACCTGAGAAATGAGCGTATCATGGCTGCATCACTTGGTGGTGGTGCGTTCTTGATTGCATCTATGTGGGCTGGGTCTGGTTGTAGCCCTTCAGAGGCACAATGTGTCCCAAGAAGTGATGGGATGTAAGGTTTAATTGATGTGTTTCAGTGCAGTGCGGAGGTTGTGTTCGGTTAATGCCATAAACAACCACGTCATCCAAGCAGCATTGTACACCTGGCAATCCTTGAAAAAGTTCCTTAGTAAAGTATTTCTCAAGCTTTCGTGCTGACAATTTTAGCAATAGTGACCTTGAACTTTAACCTGTCTGCACCAAAAGCACAAAAGCAATAGGCTTCTTAAGACAATCAAGAACAACCCAAGAAAAAAAGTCAAGTTCCTGGGTAAAGTGTTTCTCAAGTTACCGTGCTGACAACAATTAATCTAACCAAAACATAACACACACAGACGTACGGACTGAAGGAATACCCTATTGCAATATCCCCCTCCTGCCTTACAGCCAGCGGGATCAAAAGTAATCAGAAAACACAGCTAGTGCTTCCGAAATCCAAATATATTGCAAATCTTTAGGAAAGTAGGAACAGTTAGCTATTAAAAACCAGTAAATATGTGTACCCTACTCGGAGCACTTAAAACACATCCTATACCTACCGTCCTGAGCGTAAAAAAAACGAACAATAATGACTTGGGCTCTGACAATTGAGGGCGATGACACATACTATAGCAATCTGTACTTTAGCGGTTATTTAGTAGGCTAAGGAAAGATGCAATCATGGGTCAAACATGTAAGTAGGAAATGAATTTGAAACCAAAGTGGAGTGTGGAAAGTCAAACTTTATACCAAGTGAACATGTTAACTCACCCATGAGAGTCAGCAGTTTCATTTTAAGTTGTGATTCCAATCTGGCTATCATCATTTCGACAGCATTACGGATTTCACGGACACGTTCATCCTTGGCATTGCGAACACTTTCAACATTGCGCTCCTGCAAGGATTGCAATTTAAGAATATAAAATTACTATAATCACACCTGATGTTAGCAATATTATTATTACAGGTTTTCCTTGCTAAAAGCTGTGGAAATTTTTCTTGGGTGAAATTGAATGTAACAGTTGGTGAATTTGAATGAAAAATGTTTAAGCTTAAAACATTTTTCAATCAAATTCACTATCTCTAACATTCAATTCGCCCGAGAAAAAATTCCACAGCTTTTACCAAACCCAATTTGCTCTTTTAACACTACCGCCATGGGCATGCAGAGCCTCGATATGGCAACTTTACACAATAGATATAGCCGGTTCAGTGATTCCCGTGTCGGGGTTCAGATCACTGAACCGGCTATTGTTATTGTGTAAAGTTGCCAGATCGAGGCTCTGCATGCCCAATGGCGGAGTGTGAAAAGAGCGAATTATTTACCATTCAACTTCAAAGTTTGGTCACCCTCTTTGAACACCGAGTTGAGGATATTCATCATTACATATCAAATTTGTCTAAGCTGATGCCAAATGACAGCATTCAGTGATCAAAGAATGTCTTACATCAATCAATTTAAAAATTGTGTTAAGTTAATTAGTCTTGTGTGCGTTTGAGCATTTTCTTGTGTTCCCAAGCAGAATTCGCCACATTCACTGCATGAATGCCAATCTCAATGAACAGTTACCAAAACAGGTGTAAAGATAACCAACAACAAAACAACGTAAATAAATAGATATAAACAAAACCGAAATGAAACAGTATTAATATGAGAGAAGGAAAAGTAAAAACCACTACTTGGTAACCCTTCAAAAGAAAAAACCCAATAAATTTATGAAGAAACAAGAAAAGAAAAAATAACAGCATTGCTATTGAAACCCCTCAGCCAGAGTCAAGTAATCATCCAGAAACCATTGACCTTTAACTGAACATGGTGACCTTGACCTTTGACCCCAGAACCAATCCCAACATGCCTGTACCAATGGGGAACCTCCTATTGAAGTTAGCACTAAAATTTCATTTCCCACTCAAGTTATCATCCGGAAACCATTTACCTTTAACTCACCACGGTGACCTTGACCTATGACCTTTTGACCCCCAAACCAATCCTAACTTGCCTACTTGATCCCAAGGGCAACCCCCTACCTAAGTTAGACACCAAAATCTCATTTCCAACTCAAGTTATCATCCGGAAACCATTTACTTTTAACTCACCACGGTGACCTTGACCTTTGACCGCAAAACCAATTCCAACTTGCCTACTCCCAAGGGCAACCCCCTACCAAAGTTAGACACCAAAATCTCATTTCTAACTCAAGTTATCATCCGGAAACTAAGCTGCCCGGACGGACATACAGCCCGCCATACGGACGGACGGACGCCGTAGGCGATGACAATAAGTGGAAAATAGTTCTTCTTAGCAGCCTATATGCCTTCTTGATTTTTCTTTAATTTACTGAGGGTGTAAAGTCGTCGTGAAGCCATACTGACAATCTGTTGAACTTGCTGGTCCCATCTGAGATTATTTTGTGTGTTAACCCAAAGAAGCTTCAGTGATGAAACCACTTCCAGTTGTACCTCATTAACTTGTAATTGAATGGGATCAACTGGATTCCGGAGAAAACAAATCTGCATAACCTTGCATTTCAAAGGATTTAATTTCATGTCATTGACATAACATCAGTCTACAAGTGTGTTAATGTCAGATTGCAAATTTGACTATTCACCTCTTTGAACAATCTCAACTAAACTGAGATCATCAACATACGGTACTTCCATCAATTTTGGATGTCATTGGCAGCATCATTAACCATGGCCAAAAAGAGGATTGGTGCATGTTATTCATCCAGCGCGGTCGAGCCCCCCCCCCCCTTGCGTGTTCCACCGTGATGTAGTACGTTTGGACCAAACCATTTGCTGTGAAGGGTGTGCTTTCCTCGGCACTATTAACCAGCATTTTCAGCATTTTTTTCATAGTGTCAAAATTACAAAAAAAAAAACTTTTTATGGAGTCTGAAACATTTCACATGTTCTGAATAAGTTCTTAATCATGGCAATATATATTTTTTTTCGTAAAGAATGTACACGAAAAACAATGTAATCTCCCAAAAGAGGGTGAAACACCTCTTTATAAAATTAATGGATCTGTCCACAGAATGAGCATTAATTTTGATGAACTAGTTGGGCCGCGAATCGAAAAAGTTATTATTTTTTTTACGGTACTTGTCAGCTTGTTAAGAGTCATTTCGCGTAAATACTTCATCAAAGTGAATAAATTAAATACTTCATCAAAAAAATCAAATTTGTTTATACTTTGTGGAATGAAAGGACTTTGGGAGCAAGTGACCAAAATAGACTCTTTAAACCGATCTTTTGCCCATTGCCAAGGTAACGGGCCATTATGTGTTTTGGCCATTTTGGGGCAATTCTGAGGCTGCAAAAATTAATTTTTTGCGTTATTTTCAAAGATCATCTAGCCAAACTGCGAAGTAATGTCACAAAAGTAACTATATCACGACAAAGTATCATCCTTACCCTTACAAGAAAAAATAGAAACACTTCTGAAAAATCCCCTTTATATTATTTTTAGGCCCCAAAATACAGCATGTTTTTACAACTAGCAAAATTACATTTTTTACCCCATTTTTATCCCTCCAAAATGGCACTTGCCAGGGCACTCAGAAAAATTTCCCTTTGGCTATGGTTAGTTCAGACATTGGTCTTTTCATATCTGGTGAGAAAATCTTGGGTTATTGTATATCCTCTGTGCAGTAGCGCTCCAAAAATGGTAAATTTCACAAAAACCTTAAAAAGTGTATTTTCAGTGTTTTCCTTTGTTTTGAGTAATAACTTGTATAATTGGTATTGTTCATGAATCTAGCACATTTTCACAAACAGAATCAGACTGTGTATCATTTTTAGACCAGTGGATGAATAGTAGGTCGTGTAATCCCCCCACACACACCTTGTTAGGCCCCGCCCACTCCCCCTTTGCCACCGAATTTAGAACTTGTAGGTTGCATAACGAAACAAATGTTAATAAATAATATGCAAGTGAACACTTTACAAATAACATAGACTTCCTTTTCACAGACTCCCCTTTCCCCAACCTGGGGGCATTGCTTAGGGTTGAGGGCAGGGTGTGACCACCCACCAATAACTTGGCTTTGTCGGTAATATCATTGTCACATGGGCAAAACTCATGTGTTTGCAAGCTGCAATGAATAATAATGGCCATATTGTCCTCTGATTGAAAGTGCATTCATTGGTTAAAATAATGATGTCTAGTCCTCCCCTCCCAGCTAGGCCCCGCCCCTTCCCTTGCCACCAAATTCAGATTTCAATTTCTGGTGTATTTGCCTAAATTAAATTGTAAATACTAGATATCAATTTGCAAGTGAACCTTTTACAATCTACACAAACAGCCGTCTTACAGCTAGCCCCGTCCCCTGCCTCCCCCACTCCCAATGCTCATAAGAGAACCCCGCCCTCTCCCCCAACAAGTCAACAAGTACAATTTGGTCAGATTACAGTACATGATGTAATCACATGCTTATGGTCTTGGGGAAAGTCTTAATTATGTAAGGTGGCTTTTTTACAACACAGGGCAGCTTGGAATATCCGAGGAGGTCGAAGGGGTGTGTATGTCGCGAGGGTGGGGGGAGGGGGGGTGGGTACACTGTACACATTGTATTTTTTTAGTGGAAGTGTCCTCCAAATTTGTATTTGCCTGATCAACATGAAATTTTGTGACTTTTAACAGTGGTCACCATTGCACCAAACACACTTCTGTAGTGTGTTCATTATTACCATGGCAACCGTTGTAAAGACATCGGTGCTCATAAACTAAAGTCAAAAATACTTCCATTTTCAAAACCTATCAGGAAAGTATTATCTTTAGACTGAAATTCATGGCTATATAATTAACAACAATACATGCTCAGTATGTAATGTGGCCGCCATTGGTGTGAGAAGCCCATGTAATTTTCACCTTTCAATCTGTACCATTTTCTTTGTTTTGATGTACTTTTCAGATAGTTATTATTGCAGAGCATTAAATAACATCACCACATTTATGTATATTTATTTTAATTTTGCCAATTCGGATTGAAAACCCACCAATTTTTGGAATAAAATTAGTAAGTATATAGTCCCTATGGCAGAGACAATGGATGCATAGAATTGCCTGACTGGGATGAATGTTTACACAAAAAAATACATAAATTATGCCCAAAATGTTATCTAGACAAGAGTTTGGCAAAATACATAGAAAAAAACACCTCTAGTGGTAACAGCAATAGAAACAAGAATGTCATATTATAGAGTAAAGGTTAACCAATATTTTCCTGCCAAATAAGTTGTAGGAAAATCGGTCAAAGCATATATGCAAATCAACATGGGGATCACAGTGTGCTGTACCCCTCCCTTTCAGAAAAAAAACCCCCAAATACCCGCCAGAAAGGATTAAAATCTGTAAGCACTTGTGGTTCGGTGGGGAAGTTGGTATTTGTTTAATTAACACATTAACAAAACATTCCCTGTTTGTATACCAAAAACCTGTAATTTATAAGCACCAATACATTTAAAATTGCTTGGATGCACCGACAATGGATGCATCACAGAAGTGTGGCCATGTTGACTACTGATGACAGTTTGGAAAAGACTCAAAATGTCATGCTGATTATGAAATTACGATTTTGGAGGGCATAGCAGCACTCACAAGGTACTATATTTGATTATATGTGCTCGATCTCACCATATTTACACGTAGGGCCAAGACAATTCAATCAATCAAAATCGAAGCCATTTTAAGTTTTCACTAGAGTGATAGTTGTTTTAAAGTACATGTATTTTAATATAGAAAAATGACTTATTTGCTCTCTTAATCGCCATATCACTTCTCTGTATTGAAAAAAAAATACAGTATTATGTACATGTACCACGTACATGTATCCATATTACGTTCCCCCCCCCCCCTGCGCTTTCCAGATATTCCAAACCACTCCCACGTTGTAAAAAAAAACAGCCACACCTACACAGTGCATATAAATATGTGGACTCTCCGCAAGGCAAAATGTAACCTTAACAATAATATAGGTTTTCCCAGCGAATTTCCGAAGTTTTCTAATCAGTTTCATTATCAGCCATTCAATTTCGCGCGAGTTTTGCTCACGTGGTCCAATTGGGGTTTCTTTTTCATTTGGGGTTCATTCAATTTCATTTTTAGGCAGCCAAGATTTTGCTGTGAATATTCGTTTTCGTTTTGGGGCAGCCTATTTCGCTTTGGTGCATTCAAGACTTAACTTGTAGCAGTCTTAAATTAAGTCTTTGCAACCTTTTGACGGTTGACGCATTCAAATTAGCGAACATCTGTGCGCTTATAACGTATAACCATGCTTTTCATTTCTTATTCGTTTATGGGCAATCGCTTTCATCGTTTGGTCATTTAAATTAATAAGAATTTTTAATCGATATTTTTCCTATTTTTCTCCGAGGTTCATTTCCCCCCCCCCAAAAAAAACCACAATCTTGATGACTGTAAATTTTACAATGTTACAAATCAACTGATATGACGGAAACAAGATGCAACGAAATAATGAATTGAAAGGGACTAAGATAATTTCTTTTTCACTGTTGATCTTTTCTACTTGTTGAAACGTTTGATCAAGGGGTTTTGTTACGTTGACGATTTCTTGACGTGCAAGACATCGGAACACGTAATATGTTTGGTAATGGTTGTACCGTCGGGAACACTTCTCTTGCGTTATTTCTTGAATGTTTTCTTGCGTATGTCTGACTGAACACTTACCATATTCATAGGGCCCATGCAAAGTTTTCAATGCAATACATCTTTGTGTCAAATTTAACCTTATTTGCAAGTTTTATTTTCCATTTTGAGGGGCGTTTTTGGTGCCTTCTCCGTTTTTATGCTAATGCAAAGTTTCATATTCATTAGAAAACCTGTGATGGCATTCCGAGCATGATTAATATTACACGGCTATTTCAGCAAAAAAGTTGCTAGAATTTTGGATATTTTGCTGTCATAAATTTCTTTTATTTCGTGATTATTTGATGTGTCAGTACATGGCAGTAAGCCAATGACCAACCCTTTCCCACAAATGTTTTCAATTAGCAAATTTTGGATGAATAATTTGAAAGAATAAACCCTAAACTGAACAGTGTCTTCCTGAAATGACATCACAGTAACAGCGTTAGTCCGGAAAAACATGGAAACTTTTAAATGCTTAAAGAAGTGCACATTTGCAATAAGATTAACCCAAAAAGTGTTATCAAATGTGTAGTTTTCTTACATTTCACAGAGTTGCGCAAAAAGAATTTCTGAGAAAAATTCATTGCACATACCCTTTAGGAAAGAAAGTCAATCTACGGTTTGAAGTCATCAAATATATGATTTACGCTAAGGAATACGGACACGTATGAAGTCTTAAAAGATGTTTGACAAAATGTGAAACATGTTTGCCCATTAATGAAAACGAATGCCCGATCAACCCCTTACTAATGGTTTAGACGAAATTGAATGACCAACGCAATACTTTTAATATGAATGCATCTTTGATGGGGACGAGTGAAGCTAAAAGGCGATAGAATGCCCGGATAGTGAAATTGAATGATTCTCTTTGATTGTCGAATGCCGATCTGCGTGATCTTTCAATTTCAATCTAAATCGAATGAGCCAGGCGTTAAATTGAATAAAAACTTGGTGAAATTGGCCGGGAAAACCTATACATGTTGAATTCTTTGGGAGGGGGAGTGGTTGTTGCTCATAATGAGCACTGGAGTAGGAAGAGGGGTGGCAGGGGGTGGGCTGTGAGACGGGTACGCCTGTTGGTGTAAATTATACAAGGTTTACTTGCAAATTGATATCTATTTACAATTTTAATGTAGGCAAATACAAATGGTTATCAAAATCTGAATTTGGTTGCGAGGGAAGGGGCGGGGCCTAGTTGGGAGGGGAGAACTAGACATTATTTTAACCAATGAATGCACTTCAATTTAGAGGACAATGGATATGGCCATTATTATTAATTGCGGCTTGCAAACACATGAGTTTTGCCCATGTGACAATGATATTACCGACAAAGCCAAGTTATTAGTGGTTGGTGCCATTTTGGAGGGATAAAAATGGGGTAAAAAATGCAATTTTGCTAGTTGTAAAAACATGCTGTATTATAGGGTCTAAAAATAATATAAAGGGGATTTTTCAGAAGTGTTTCTACTTTTTCTTGTTAGGGTAAGGATGATACTTTGTCGTGATATAGTTACTTTTGTGACAATACTTAGCAGTTTGGCTAGATGACCTTTGACATTAATGCAAAAACTGAATTTTTGCAGCCTCAAAATTGCCCCAAAATGGCCATGGCAACGGGCAAAATAAAAGTTTAAAAAGTCTATTTTGGTTACTTGCTCCCTAAGTCCTTTCATTCCACAAAGTATTAAAAATGTGAATTTTATATTAAGTAACTTATATGAAGTATTTACACGAAATGACTCTTAATAAAAATAATTATACTTTCATAAGTTTGGCACAGTAAAAGGATGTGTTTGTTCTCAAAACAAAAATAATCAGCAAATGTGATGCGGTCAAGCTAAATGAGTCGTTTGTCGACCCTGGTCAATCTTCTTCTTTTTTTACAGATTTGAAAAGAGCACAATCTCAGCATTACTGCTGTGAAAACCGCATGCTGGTACCATCTTTAGTTTCAAAAAATATGGAAGTTGGAACACCAAGAGATGTGATGAAGTGGTCCTATTTTGGCCTGAATCTCCAATTTATGAAAATTCCCGACAAACGACTCATTTAGCTTGGCCGCATCACAAATATTGCCATGAAGCAAGTTTTTAGTGCTCATTTGGGCATGCTCGGACGGGACGAATCTCGTCGGGAAAACCGTCAGCATGACGGTGTTGTGGGAAATTTTTTATCATAGTTCGGTGGGACGGATAGGACCACGATAGGTAACAGGGTAGCAATTTACGATGTTCATTTCTCAACGTCATCAAGTGAAATTATAACGGACTTTTGTTTACACAACAAAAATAAGATTCATCCTTCAACTTGTGTTGTATAGCATGCTTATGTGGAAATTGCGATGGCTATTTCTGTCAGACGTGTGCGGTACACACGTGTTTGTTTGAACAGGGGAATGGCCTATGCATTTCATTGTAGCCTTATACATTGTATGGACATGTACATTATGTATGCACTTTCGAAGCCGAACCGAACCAAAGTGCGGAGAAAAAAATTCGAACCGCAAGCGAATCGAACCGAACCAAACTTTGAGGATCATTTGCAGCACTAGGTGCAGGCATGCTCCAAGAACAATGAATGTGCTTGACTCACTGCCAAAAATATGTGTATATATTCAGTGCTGGAGTGCAGGTTAAAAAGACAAAAATAGTTAACTTACTACTTCTTGGACAAGACTGATCAGCTCCATAAGGCGTCTTCTCAATGCTGCAACCTCCTCTGAGATTTGAGAGACATGTTGATCATATACCTCATCTAGGGGTTTGAATGTGTGACCTGTATGTTGCTGCAAGGTCAATAGAAATGTGAATACAAAAAAAACATTGAACACTATTAATGGTAACACAAGGCTCTGGAGCTGTACCTAATGCACAAGGATTTGTTGTATATTGTTAGACTGCATACTACCGTATACAGGTAATTTGGGTACGGTCTTCTCAGTGCTGTTATTCCATAGAAGCATTTAAGGTGGATTTTTCTAACACAAGATCCCTTGAAATTCATTGATTTAACTACAAAAAAAGTAAGTAACTACATAATAAAGTTCTGCTCGTTTGGCAGTTTGTTTTTGATCAGTAACTCAACTTACACAAAAAGGACATGGCAAAAAGTTAAAGACCTTGTATTTGAAAGTTTTCTCATGCTGTGCACTGATGGAAAACTGTTGTCGGTGCTCTTACAAGGGTTTAAGTCATTTTAAATATATATTTTAGAAATTGATTTGAAAATGCATGAAAAATCATTAACAAATCAACCATTTACATCATTATGACGTCACTTAAGATTTTGCATACTAATAACATTATCTTACATGTACTTCCCACCAAGTTTTATGATGATCCAACCAGCCCTTGTGTATCAAAAACATCTCATTTTAATGAGTAAAGTTCATAACATGATCAAATTTGTCCAACATGGCAAAACCGGTTCAAGTGAGCAGAAATCATTTGACCCTTACAATACTCAAAAAGCAAGATTCTGCACAATTGAAATGAGCCTTTAGGGTCACGGTTGATATTTAAATTCTTCAAAAACATTTGAACTTTTTTCTGATTCTGTTTGAGAAACGCTCTATTTTATTTTCATATACATGAATGTAATAAAAGTCTCACTTATTCAAATTGTTTCAAATACACATTGAATTCTAAACAGGGAAAAACTTCAAATTCATCATAGTTTTTGTTAACAGTGTTAGTGTGCTTCTTTGTGTCACACACTTTACTTTACAAAGTCTGCATTATCATCAAAAGGAATACTCTTAAAACATCCCAATACAGCAACCAAAATGGAGAAGATAAAATGTAAGTAATGTTAACAAATAAAAAGAATGTAATGCTGCATAGATATTGCTAAAGTTTTGACAGATTTAGGTTTGGGCATGGAAAAGGAGACCTCCACAGTTTTGCTTCATGTATGACCATTATTTACTCGGTTTCAAAGTCTCGGTATAATTGTTTTTTGTGTACTTTTGTCTAAAATTGTTTGCTTGTTTCAAATTAAAAATCAAGTCAAACAACACAATTAAGTACTGACTCTTGAGAGTCATGGGTATAATATTTGTATGATATTTGTCAATTCTTGTATCATGAAGTTCAGGACATCGGCCTTTAAACACAGCAGAAGGCACTCCGGGCCACTTCACTGGAATGGATTGCCTGCAAGTTTAAATAAGGAATAGTCACAGCTTATTCAGTTTTCAATGTAATCTTAAGTCTTACCTTCTTCAAAAGTTTGCATCAATTTCCAACGCTGGTCAGCCGACCAGCGTTGGAGAAACCTCCTGTCGCGCGACCAAGCTTGGTCACGCGACGGGTCACGTGAGGGCCTTAACAACACCAGTTGACAAAGACACCGTGATGGTGTCGCAAGCTCCTGATATGAGTTCTTGTGATCAAAGTCCCAAAAAGGTATCTTTTATTTAATTGATATAATAATGGGACAGGAAACGAACTTCCATGCTCGATTCTTCAAAAGTGATTTTTTTTTTCCAATTTAATTTCTACTCTTATATCTACCAGTAGCGTTACTAAAAGTTATTATTATTTTTTTTTTACAGTTGGATCAACCAATGGATATTGTGTATGGAATTGTGTTTGTATTCGTTTTGTGTATTTAGTATTTACTGTTTGTGTTTTGTCAATTTATTCTGTACTGTGGTGTTTGTAATTGTATGGGCACTTCCTAATACAAGCTGTGCTTTTTTGGCTGTGCTCCAAATCCTCCTCTTCTATTTATTTATATACATTGTATTCCTATTGATTGATGGAATTGGAAACAAATGTTGATAAAATGAAATGAAATATCTTGCAACATCCCCGAGACCCTGCCACAGAGCGAAATTCGCCACGAAATGGTACTATCCAGAGAATAAAAAATAAAAAATAAAAAAAATACATGACATTCATACTGATTACATGAAAAGAGTACGGAACTTACGCCTGTTTAAGTTACATGTATGTACCTGAAAGCACAATGGGCAACCCTGTATGATGTTGGGAATTTCCCCTTTCAATGTACACACACTTTGGAACTGCTGCTTGATGATAGTTTTATGTCTAGACGTTGAAAGCCTGAGATGTTTAAGGGTGCCACAGGATATGCCCAAGTTTGCTTATTGCCACGAAACACAGGGAAGTTTTAGATTTTCTTTTACATTGACGTTTAAAGCAAAAATTATGGCCATCTTGATTGCAGCAAAAGTCTAAGTTGCTTGATTGTTATCTTTTAATTGCTGAACAACCAATAGAATACTGTACAAAGATGAAGAACCAGTGTTGTTAGTAGGGGAAGGGAGAGAGAATGCCATGACTGACAATTGCATGGAATACTCTACAAAGATAAAGTGAACCAGACTTTATGGGGTGGACGATATGAGAGCAATAATTGAGGGTGCATTGCTTGTTTTTTTAATTAAAAAAAGGCCACAGCACTCCACGGGAAGTAAATGGTCTATTTCTTACAGGCTGGTAGTAGGAGTCCGTATGTCGTCAGGTATTTTCTAAGACCTAAAAGAGATGCCAAAACAGTTTTGGAATGCTTAGCAGGTCCATTTTACAAATTTACATGTTTCCACATTTCTTTTCAGGTTTTACATTTTATGCAAAGTTAAATTACAATGCTTAAATAAATTGTAATTCTTATAAAGTGCTTTCCATCATATCAAAAATCTCACGGTGTTTTTTTTTTTTACTTTAGACTTGACTTGTTTATTTATTCCCATTCATAGATACCTTTTCAGTAAAAAAAAATCAAAACTTTTCGGTCCAAATGTCGAAACGGGCCAGAATAAAAATTTCCAACAATTTTGTTCAGCAATTTAATTCATGTTTTTTGAAACACTCCTCTAGCTATATAATGGAGTGTCTAGCTTGGGAGTAAGACTTAAACAAGTCCATTTATGGAGATTGGCACGCCCGTTGCATGCAGACGCAGCTGTGGCCAGTGGGTTGTGAATTTAGGACTATGAAATACTGACTCACTGGTAGTATTGCGCATGCCTGTGAAGATTATGAACGTTCAACCAATAAAACGGTAAAAGGCACAGGATTTCATAGGAGCCCAAATTTCATCTGACACTGGAAAAGTGTTTAAGACCAGCTAGCCATGACTTTATCATCTGTTTAAGACCAGCCACGTGACAGGCTATCCACCAATGGGAAAAACTGACTTAGATATTTATGAATGTCTTTACTGAACTTTTATGTCTTACATATCAATAAAAACTTCTTTAAATTAAAGCAATGATAATAGCCAACTGTAATTGTTGTTCTGTATTATTTGATCTGTATGCTAATATAAAATGTACTTGGTACTCACCGCTCCACCCCAGAGAGCACATTGATGACATATACACTTGTGGCATGTCCAGCAGTACACACTCAATTTCTCATGATGTGCTTCACATCTGTTTAAAAGAGTACATTGGTATTAAAGGCCATAGAATTACTGGAAACGAACCTACCGATTTAAAGAGAACACCCTTGCCCACAGTGATCAAAGGACTGGTGTTTTTTTAAAACAGTGTGTCCAATGGCACACTTTTCAAAAATTTGACGATATTTGTTAACCCAGAGATGAAACTGGCATATGGGAAAAAAATCGGAAAATAGGCCAAACAAAAATATGTGTCTGAAAACTGGGCCGCGCTGCATCATGTATGTTCATCCTTTCCACTTAGTTTGTGCGCATGCGCCAAAATCTCGGCTAATGCCAGTGACTGTTGAAATGGCAGCATTGCGGAGAGGAAAGACACACTTATTTTCATCTGAAAACATCCTATTCATTTTGCTAGATGAAGTGAAAACATGCCACCGGATGAAATTGAATGAGTTTCTTTTTATTTTATTTGCCATATTTTTGTGATAAAAAGTCAACATTTTCAAGAAAATGTCGTTTTGGATCGATGTTTGCTTCCATTTCCATGAAATCATCGTCAAAAAGGGCCAAATAAGTTGGGATTTTGTTTTAATGTTCTCCAGTTTCCCCAAACATGCCACTTATGACAGCACTAGAATGAGATATTAAAAAATAGCATTATAGGATTTATGAGTTATTGCGAATAGGTTTGCATTCCTTAGGTGGGTATTGTTTTTTAAGTTTCCGACCGTACGTTTACATATGTATGAACTGGACGCCGTCAAAAACAGTGTCACCATGCAAGGACGGCCATGTTGGGCCGTCCACATGGAGCACTGGCCCGGCTTGCGCAATGCGGAAAATCATGCTGCCCTATATGGGTCAGCGGAAAAACGTAAATCTTGGAAATGGTATCATTATCATCATCTATTCTATCATCTAAATGGCAATATCTCTAATTGTCCAGGAAAACTGGAGTTAAAATTGGATTTATTCACGCAGGGTATGAAGAGTTTTTGGGGAAAAGATTTTTTTCTCTCTTAAAATCTCTTTTTTCGGAGAAGTTTTTACATTTGGACATTCTCAGCTCATAACATAAATGTAAAATTCACATTTAATGTTCTCAGAAATTTTCATGCGTTTAGGTTGTCTGTAACTTGTGGAAATTATGGGATATTGTTTATGTCCGATCAACAGGTGTGGAATGGGTGTGGGCATGGGGGGAAAAAAAACTAAGTGGTGCACAAGTGCATTGGCATGAACATACGTGGTATATATGATTGTACATACATGCATGTACAATACACATCATGCCCAATTTCGGACACTGATTATTGTTTTATTTTTCGATCCAAACAAAATTTTAAGATGAAAAATGGTCAGTGTTTTCATAAAATGTAAAAGCCTGAATTACGGTGAGAGTAACAAACTTATCAACAAAGAAGTTCAGTTGTTACTTGAGAAAGTTGAGGGAAAAAATCTGAAAGACAAGGGCCACCATTCATGACACCGTTCAATCACGGACCATTAAATGGTCCATGGTTCAATCATGTCTGTGATTCAACCACACAACTCCACTTCTCCACTTGTACCTGTACTTGGGAGAAAAATCGGCCATTATCCTCTTTTTCTCCCAACAAATTCCAGTGAAATGTATCACTAACGCTCTCTTTGCCATCTTCAAGACATTGCATTTGTACAACTAAATCTAAAACCTCCGAAAATCGAACAACATGTTGGATTTTATCCACTGGATCATTCATGAGCAGATGAGGCCACCCGTACCCGACCGGCCATGTGCTAGCAGGCGGCGCAGTATGTGCTTTGGTACTGTTGCATATCATTGTGTGCAGCTACATGTAGTACATGCACGCAGCACATACTGGGCACACCCTGGGTAAAGAAATGTAATAATAAATACTGTATTACCTTGTGTGACGCAGTGATTTTTTCATGTCACAGTTCATTGTTTAACCTTTTATCCAGCCTGAAAAGGTCTGATCAGTGTTAGCCTCTAGGTGTTTATACTGTCAAAACACTCCATTAACGACTGGCGACAGAGATTAAAATTACGTTCACGATAATTCTTAGGTGCTGTTTTCCTCGACTTTTCTTCGAAATTATGATTTAAATAATTGTGGAAAAATTGTTAAAAAAATCCAATTTTGTGGGACAAATTGTAAGCAAATCTGAAAGTGTGTTGGAAAAGTCAAAAATCAGATTTCCGATTAAAATCAGAGATGTTTCATCTCTGGTTAAACACTGCAAAGACCTAGGGCTGAGTCAATTCGAATAATTGAATATTCGAATATTCGACCTTCCAATCGATCGAATATTCGAATATTCGGTTATTTGGCCATTCCAAATTCCCTCAAAAGCAAAAATATGCCATACATGTACATGTATAGTCAACGTACGTGCGCACGTCAGCATGCCATGCATGATTTCTTCACAGGTAAGTCAGGTATTTGACAACAATCAGTTGTTCTTCAGTGTCAGTAATTTAAAGATTAACAATAACCAGAGAAGCTAGAGTGAAGGATTCCTTGTTTGCATGGGGGACGTATTAAGCCGTGAACCCCAAACACGGCGGGTGGCGTCAGCTATTGTGACTCTCCGACCCTTAACTCGCAAACAGGAACCGAGCATATCTATTACTGGAAGCTTCTTGAAGTCTACAAAACGGTGTACTTCCTAGTCACAGTATTGAGGATAAAAAATCACTTTTATAATAATAACTCGCACTTTTTGTCACCAAGAATTGAGGAAATGATTTTAAATCATTTTAAATAAATTTATTCTCAACAACCAAAAACTCCAAGAAAAAAACCTATGATATTTAATGTCTTTATTCAATGAAATATGGGTCTTTGAATTGTAAATGCATATTTAAGTTTATGCAAATAATGGGCGTGGGCGCGGCATACACACGCCCCAGCTTGACACGTGCAAAGCAGTATTTCCTTGTTTGCCCACAGGGGATGTATTATAAGCTGTGTACCCAAAACACGAAGGGTGACATTTCAGCAAAAAAAAAAAAAAAAAATCGCCAGCCGAGCTCCGGCGGGCGCATTGTTGGCGGGCTAATTAGGGCACAGGTGCGCTGACCCGGTTCTTTTGTCTGGCTAAGTGCGTGCTCTGGAGATAACTTTCTAACAAATAGGCCACTAAAAGGTTTGGATATTCCAACTTGTAACATTTTGATACATTTTATCTAGCTGTGGTTTTCTATGCTGGGAATCAGGGGTACGGTGCGGTGAGTTGACCGCAAAGTCTGTCTGGCGAAATAAATGAGAGCTCTTTTGAGTTTGAAATCCTCTCTGTTGTCTGCCCTTTTTCTTGCGTTTTGCTCAACTTGGAGGACATAAGCCAGAGGTTCCCGCTATTATTACTGAAAGTATAATTGCTGAACTAGTTTTTGAAGTGTTTATGTATGTTTTATTTGTGCAAATATTGGGTGCAATTAGCAGACTAACCCAGCGAACAAAGCTGACGGACAGCGAACGAAAATGTGTTCGATAAAAGGGTGCTCTGATCAGTTGAGAGAACTAGATTATTTTGTACATGTACATGTATATAATTACGGAGGCATCTAACAGCCATAATAAATTTACCCCTAAAAGTAAACAAGAAATTCTTTTAGAAAAATCCCAGAGTCCGTAACGTAAATGAACCAAGGTTTTCAAAACGTTTTAATGTAATGTTGGGGTTCATGACAAGTTTTCTACAACACCGCCACGTGCTGTGAGCAGCATACTGCATGCAAGGCGATTCCCTATAACCACGTGCATTCGACACGATTGATTCGACACGATTGAACAGGCGATGGAAAACTTTGGGGGGAATTGGCTTCGCTGTATCAGTGTAATGTACCGCTTCTTGTGCGACCCTGTGCGAGCAGTACGTCCTCAAAATAAGTACATGAAAACGGAAAATACAAAGGCCCACACAGAAAAAAGAAATCAAGTTCTTTGCATGAGATTGCAGAGGTCTTCTACATCGATGTTGGCATGCCATTTTCGCGATGTCAATAGCCGATCCAGTAAGCCCCTCCCACTGCGCACGTGGGCAAATTAACACGTGCTCCTCTCCAATGCCACGCTGCATTTTCCTATGCTGCACACATGTACATGTAACACCAACGCGCGGGGAAACTTGCCAGGATCGCATCGGGGAAAAACAGCGGCGGTTTTCTTTTGAAAGTAGGGATTGTAAGTAGGACAACAACAAACAAAAATACGGACAGCGGAAACGTTACTACTCATGCTAGAAGTTTGATATGAAAAGGTGTCAGGAAGTGTTTTGTGAAGACATGAAAGACAAAATGTCTTGTTTATCTTGTCGGAAGAATCAGCGATTGGTGTTGCAGTCCGGCGTTAAAAAAATGGGTTGGCTTTACTGCAAGCACTCCCAAAGCAGAAGTAATATATGTATGGCATTATTGCTTGGCATATATACAAGCTACTTTTATGGGGGGTTTTGGCAGCAACTTGAAACTTAACTTTGAGAATACACTTTTGTTGTAAAAAAAAGGAGTTTTTTCCACCTTTTTATTTCATTGCATATCACCACCGAATATTCTTATTCGAAAATAAATATTCGAATATTCGTTTATCGATCGAATAACCGAATATCCGAATATTCGGCACAGCCCTACAAAGACCGCCAATCTTGTCATGTCACGTACCGGTACGTGTCCATTTCTTAAAAAAAAAAAAAATACACAAATGCAAATGATCCTCGGTAACTTTAGGCATATTGCAGTCATGCAGAATTCACTAGAGTGTGAACAACTTAATTTTTTTTCACAACCTCTGGAGAATTTCATCATCATGGAGTGATTAAAATCAAAAGTGTTGTGTAACATTTGTTCTTTGAATTTTTACTCTTTCATATCCTTCAAAGTGAGGGTCATACGTGCCAAAATATGGCCTGTTTTTACTGGTCCAATTTTATACAGCAAGCCATTTCACCAGATGACCAGATGATTTTTTTGTTGAATTTGCTTTGTAATGGCAATACTATGAATAAACTACTTGTTCAGCTGGAATATTGTGTATGTATGAACGGCAAAACAAACTAGCATGCAAGATTGTTGAAAAGTGCTGTGAGGGTGTTCTAAAGTTGCCTGTGGTAAGCAGCAGGTTGTTGTTAGGAAAGGAACAGTTGGAGTCCAATCATATCAAAAGAATACTGTACAATACATAATCAAATAGACTCTTCCTTTGAAAAGAATACTTACTTATCTCTATCTTGTTCATCAGGTCTTGTGTGTGGGGTGCACAATTGTAGTGTGTCTAGTTGGTTAGTCACCTCTTCTGCCCATCGACAGTTGACCAAATCGTGAAGTTGTAAAGGAGCTCTTGAAAACAACAACATTTATATATTTTAATCATTGTTCTTTAATGTAATTACTATACATGTGTAATGGTATAAACACAAGAGGCAAATGGCATCAAATAATAATTTGACCAACATGTTAATAATTCTGCAGCAAAGGCAGATAACACCTCAGCAGAACACTAATGTAGTGCCTGCCAACAACTGATCTTGCCCTTCACCGCAAACTTGCCCGTCTGCTCAGCTCCAGTGAAAGCATGGAAGCCTGCAGCTTTGGCGGTACCAAGGGCATTGGCTATCATTGGTGCCAACGGTATTACCTGTTTGTTTAGTCCAAGTGCCACTCCAACCAACGAGCAAAAACAATTCAACCAACAAGCTGTTCATCTGATAAACATCGATGGAGGAAGAAGATGATTCCCCAAATTCCAGATGTCATCGCCACCCCACCCACAGCAGGGCACAGCCGTTGACTCCGAAGGGGCCTTTGTTAAGGCCAGTGCTTACAGTAATATCTGCTAACTTTGAGGGGATATTGCCAACCAAAGAATACCTTCTTGCCAATATCTGCAAGGACACCAAGTGCGATGTCCTTTGTCTGCAGGAAATGCACCGTAGTTCCAACAACAACAGACCAAAACTCCACGGTATTACACAGGCAATTGAGCGCCCCTACAAGAAGTATGGGAGTTTTTAGGGGGGGGGGGGGTCAAAACCAGGACTTTCATCCAGTCAACATCCATACCCCATGACCAGAACATCAAAGTCCTGAATACTGAGCTTAGTGGAGTAGCCATAACATCTGGAAGCCCCGTCCTGATGCCACCACCACAATCCACAAAACAGTCCAAGCCATGCATAATTATCAGGGATTTAATAACCACAGCAGCATCATTGGCTATCATTCCATCACAGACGGCGACGCTTTTGAATCGCTGGCTGAAGCAAGTCAACTGAGCCTTATTCATAATGCGAAACTGCTGAAGTCTTTCCACAGTGGAGGCTGAAGACGCAGTTTCAACCCTCATCAAGCCTTTGTGAGCCACAACGTTGCCTCGCTTAGCAACAAGATGGTCCTTGACCCCATTCCAAAGACCCAACATCGCCCTATTGGAATCCAAGTGACTGCTGCTGTCTCTCCACAACAATTCCATTCCACCGCCGTTTCAACTTAGTAGGCCAACTGGGAAGGCTTCACCAACGAGCTCAAACACCACCTAGCTGACATTGATCCAACCTCCCATAACTATGACACAAGTTTGTTGATGTAGTGGTGCAAGAACATCCCTAGGGGCTGCTGCACTGATTACATTCCAGGCTTAGCATCCCGTAGTGCTGAACTTTTACAGGAAATACAAACACCTTGAAAACGACCCTCTTGCTGTCGATACCATCTCAGCTGGGGAGGAATTAATAACAGCCATATCAGAACAGCATCAAAGCTTGTGGCAAACCCTTGCGGTAACCACCAATATGGCCAAGAACAGCCACAAAGCCTGGAGTTAAAAGCTCAGCAATGACCGCACAGAGCCAAGTGAACAGCAGTGTAACATCACCGCCAACCAAATAGCCCACAACTGCTATTATATGGTAAAGTGCCGCGTTCTCCTAAGTGACGGAAACCAAACCCTTCTCCAAACCCTTCTCTGCTAATGAACTTGCGACTGGCATAAATAAAAAAACAGGAAAGCAACAAACTGGATAACATTTTCACAGAAGAGCTGAAACATCTTGGACCAAACACCTCAAATTGGTTATTCCAGCTCTTCAACACCTGCCTCACCACACAAACAATCCCTAAAGTGTGGTGTACATCGAAGGTCATCGCCCTCCTAAAACCTGGGAAAGACCAACTGCAAGCCAAAAGTTATAGTCCCAAATCCCTTCTAAGTCACACATTTAAGTTACTGGAACGTCTCAGCCTCAACCGTCTTGCCCCCTTCATTGAGAAACAACTGATAAAGAAACATGCAGGCAGGCTTCCATTCCGGCAAATCTACAACTGGACAGCTTCTAATCCTCACTCAGTGCATTGAGGATGGCTTCCACCAGAAAACAAGATCACCGGCACTGTCTTTGTTGATCTTACAGCTGCTTATGTATTTAATTAGGCCGTATTCAATCACGGCCTAATTAAGTGCAGACTATGCACATGTAATGACTCCACAAATATGGTTGTCTTTTCAGAGGTTCTTTTCATTTTGCTGGAAAAAAACATTCAATAGAAATCAGCCCATGACTCAAGATATTGTCTGGAAACTGGTGTTTTTCTGGATTGAATGCTATGCACCTAGCTCCCTGACACAGGGATCTACCTCCCAACCCGGTTTATTAAAGTGAAAGCGATTCCAACAACCCTGCTTATATTCTCCAATGCAAGGTTTACTACATTTAATGAAGCTGACTTTTGACTTATTTGTCCTTGATAAAACCCGTGCACACATACCCCCTCACCGGCAAGAAAGGGAGAGTTGGGTAGGGGATCACGCTTGACGTTCACGTGGAGACGCTATGGTTTTGTGCACAATCAGTACAAAATTAATCCTGCATACTTCACGCTATACATACACAAACCAAGGTGAGTCACATCCACGGGGCTTTCAAAATTGGTAGAAAGTGCCCTCTTTTTTGGCACACAGAGCCCATAAGGGACGTTGAGTTTTCCCCAGTTCTTTTCAGAACCTCACAAATGAGATTTGTCACATGGTCATACCGTACACCTTTTATCTGTTGCTACCTTCCCCATGCAAACCTTCACATCTCATCTCATTAGACCGAGTCACCAGTTGGGAAAAAAGTCAGACTGAACAAGTTCTGATCCACAACACCTACATGTATGTGACCTGCCAATGTAGTAAGTCAGCCTTTTGTTTCACAGGCATCTCTGCTCAAAATGTGTCACAATCTAGGACTGGCTGGATGACGACACATCACTCAGGTGATTGTTCCTTGTTGAGTGAGGAGCTACAGGAGAGTTACTTACAAAGGAGTTACTTACAAAAATGAAGAGAGGTGCTGCAATCCTATTCCAAGGATGCCAGCACAACATGATGCAGATTAAGTCATGTATAACACATATGGTGTACGGTATCTACCATAGCACTCGGGTGTGTCTTTGCGGTACAGGGGCCAGCAACCCTTGTCCCCTGTCTTGGATCCTTGCTACCAGTTCTAAAGTAGAGCCTTGAATGGGTGGATTACAACAGAAATGACACCAGCCTGCCTATAATGCCTGCCTGCATGCCTATCAATTTAAAATTGTATGGTACCTTCGCAACCTGTTTACAGGAGAAAAATCAACACATGGATTTTTTGTTTAGGGCTTGCATATTAGAAAATATTGGTTTGAAAAACACTTTCGTTAACTGTATTCAGAAAGTAAAAAGGAGTTAAATTTGACAATTAAGAAGAGGGAGTGCCTGGCTGCCAGGGCTGATTCTATATGGTTCCTGAAGATTCCCACCACGCCTACTCAGCAGTCAATAAATAGTGCAGTTCCTATCAGAGTGAAATATATGTGGACCCGCCATGTTAAAAAACAATTTCTGATAAAAATGCCCAATCCAGGTGTGAAAACCAGGGTGTTGTGGGAGACCAGAGCTTAAGGGAAGAAACAACATTTGCAAACGTCACAAAACGAAATGATCAAACTATCACGAAATACCTTACTGTATTGTTAGCGAATGACAGTCTAAAGCACCCTGTAAAATCGTGGCTCCTGGTGTGCTGTCATTTTCAAGAAAAATGGTATTTTTCCAATGCTGGTCGGCCGACCAGCGTTAGAGAATACTGGCTTTTTTCAGACACTGCTCCTAATTTTTTAAAATTAGTTATTCCGTGTTTTCTTTGCAATTGAGTACACACCTGTGAAGGGGTACGAGCCTGCTAGACTGATTCTCTGACCTAACAATTCCCCAAAGTCTATAAATTGCTCTGTTTCTTCTTTAGTGGGGTCAGGGAACCAGACTACAAGAACATGATTGGTTTTCTTGGTTTTTCCAGCATCTACAAGCCCAAAACGTGAAACAAGTCACATTAAACATACTTTCTATAACATACTAATCCTCCAAATCCATTTATTTCTGAAAATTGCAGCAAAAGCAAATGTTGTACATTCCCTTTAAAGCATCCATCATACTAGCGCACAGGAAGGCACCCATACTACAGGGTGTTTAAGAAAAAGGAAACCAAGCTTATTTTGTTGATTTCTTGGGTATGACTAATTATTTAGGAAAATGGTAACCACCATCTGTTACATAACCATGTCTTCTTTTTCTTGACACCACGAACTCCATTTTACTGTCACAGATGACTGAGCACTAAGTGATGTAACTGACATGTCAGAAATGGCCTTGTACCACATGCACCATCAGACCAATTGACAGTTATCAGAGAGAGAGACGTTATCAGGAATGCAGGGCAGAGATTTGCGTTGAAAGGAATGGGGGGCATGTTGAAGGACAGTGGGGTTAACGGGGACAGTGATAAACCTTGATGTATTTTAGCAATTGAATAAATGACTTTGATAATGTACGTCATGGATTTTGTTATTTTCAACATGCTGAAAGCTGTCAATTGGTCTTATGGTGCTTGGGGTACAAGGACATTTCTGGCATGCCAGTTACATCACTTGTGCTCAGTCATCCGTGACGGTAAAATGGAGTTCGTGGTGTCAAGAAAAAGAAGACATGGTTATGTAACAGATGGTGATACCATTTTCGTAAGTAATTAGTCATACCCGAGATATCAACAACATTAGCTTGGTTTCCTTTTTTTGGAAACACCCTGTACATTTGTACATGTACATGTATGTATATTTAGTTTAAAAGACATACTGCCAACTATGACGTCATGATGACGTCACAACATTTATAACATCTTCGGACCAGGGTTTGAAGATGGTCAGAGTCCGAGAATGGTCAGAGTGTGACATCACTTAACTGAAAGCAGCAGCACTGGAAAGATGGGCCGTGGTGGGAGCGGAGCCAGTGATCCCAACTGTGTATAATTTGAGGAGGAGACCACGGGCAAATGCCTATGCCTAATGAATGAATGAACTGGGGTCCAAGTTCATACCAGGTTTTATTATCACCATGTCGACTGTTTGGAAGAAATCTTGGTTTGTGATTTGAGGCTCATTTCTACATTTTGAATTCACTTAACTTTGACCTTCTGGTAGCCCCGGAAGGAAAGATCAAATGACTTTAACTTTGGTAATCAAAAATGTTTATCAAGGTATGGTTTGTCAGATCATAAATTATGAACATGGTCGTACAGCTTGTTCATGAGTTATAAATGACAGAAAATGCTCATATTTTGAACAATAATTGCTTGTAATGTGATACCTGATGACATCATCATGACGTCAGAGTATTATGCACCACTTGGGATCAGGGTCGATACATAATAATTTATGAACCTCATACAGAGCCATGCCACAAAATGCAAGCGAGGTACAATTTGTAAGCTCTGGCAACAGAGCTTCTATTAAGTCACTTGGTTGGTCAGTTGGTCTCCCCAAAATAATTGACCAAAAATGAACCCCTAACTCATCCATAAAACTTTAAGTACAAAAATTGTAACTGTAAAAAAAATTGTAAAAAAGCAAACGTAATACATTAAATGCTGAACAATAACTGTTTGTAACAATTCGTGAAGTTGTTTATGCACATTGTGATAATCACAATGGGTTTCCACACACGTGTGTCAAGAACGCCATGGTCCAGTGGTTACTGTGTTTGACTCATGTACGAAGGTGCGTGGTTTCGAACCGTACCGGGAACATGGTGTTTGTGCCCTTGGGCAAGACACTTAACTACAATAGCCTCTCTCCACCCAGGAGTATAAATGGGTACCTGTGAGGGTGGAGGACCGATTGAGCGCTGATATCGGCTGCCGCGTGGTCCCATGGCCTGATGAACGGGGTAATAATTGGAAAGCGCTATATAAGCACAATTATTATTATTATTATTATTATTATTATTATTAAAACGACAAATGTAGCATTAGGGAGACATGTTATCATAATTTCTTCGACAATTGGGAGACATCGGTCATTAGGGAGACATTTTCGTGTCTCCCTAATTCGTGTCTCCCTTGCTTGTTATTCTACCTACATGTTTTCAAAGGACAAATCTGTGATAGCCCTACAGCAAAATACCTTTTTCATCACATACTCAGAGGCACAATCCCATCATCTATCGCCGTACTACATTAATCGTGTCAGTCAAGTCTTTCGGTTGTGACTGCTGCACGTGGTGTACATTGTGTGCAGCCGGTTGTTGGCAAACATTGGCATGCGTTACACTTTGGCATTTTGACCAGTATAGTTTATTGCAATGTCTACTCAACTCTCAATCTATATTTTGGGTTTTCATGTGGTCAATCAGACCTTGAAATAATTGGCGTGGTGCCAGATGCCGGCCCACCCCTGTCTACTTCAGCCTCTACCTTCAGCTGGTTGCCGACACAGCCAAAAACAAAAAACACACCCTCACCACCCCCCCAAAAAAACACCCACACACACACACACACAAAGCCAAATAAGTGAGAATCTAAAGACAAAGCACATGCCTGCTACTCCCCCCCCCCCCCCCAGTTAAATCCCAAATCTTGAGACTAACCTACATGTAGATACATTATTGGCAATAGCACAATGATAACAGCGTTCAACCTACCGGCAATGGGGACATTGGTTTCTCTGTTCAGTAAGCCACCTCTGTAAGAAGAAAAGAAAGCAACATTATGTTGTAAATTTGACTTTGGGCTTAAATCCACTTATATGTACATGTAAACGTTTACATTCAAGACGTACATGTACATCCACAGATGAAGCATAAGGGCAATTCCAAGCAAAAGTTGACATGGCTGAAAAGTGGGAATTAAAGAACTCTTCAGAACTATTTGGGGCAATGTCCTTGTTGTATAAAATGAAAAAGAGCAAAAAAAGACATTTCATTTCACACACACACACACTCATGTTTATTATACATACGCTATGTGGACATTCCTTTGTTTTCGTTTAGTTAAGAAAACTCAGTACAAAAAATAACTTTACTTAAAGTGAAAACTCTTTCAACCCCAAATTTGTTTTTTGATTTCCTTGAATGTTTCTCTTCATTCTGCGACTGATAACCCTAACCCGAAAATGCCTCTAAACCTGTTTTCCAGAGAGGGCGAAACGTTATGCGGACACGGCTTAGTCCACATTACGTCAACACAACCTGCATTATGTGGACATCTTTTATTCACAAGTCCACATAGTGACTGTAAGACAACCTCACGTTTGTTTATGGTGTAAATCGAGGATTTTTGTTCCGCTTCCCTTTTCCTTTGTTTGTACTTTAACTTTTTCATAACAGCTCTCATTGATTTTGTACACTTTTTCCAATCGAGGTCGCCCTTTCCGCGATCATCGATGATGTTGCACATGTGGGTCCTCAATTTACATGTACACCAAAACCAAACCCACAAAATTCCTAAAAAAATATTAAAAAAACACTTTATTTTGGCTAAACTTGTAGAAATTTGGTAATCATTTTGGTATCTTGAGTTTATATGTAAAAGGTTTGTTTTTAAGACCGTCAGAAAGGGTGATGCTTTATGCCCTCAGGTATTGTTTGATTACATGTATTAGTTTGGGCAATGAGCTACCGTAAAACAAGGTTTTCCGATCAAATTTAATATTTTCACACAGCCTACCACCTGGAGATGATTGCTAAACACGACACAATGATGACGCCATCACATTAAAACAATTTTTTTTAAGGCCCTACATGTATATAAGGCAGTCAGGTTGGCTTAGCGGACCTTTCCTGGACTTCGCTATCAATCGGGACAACACTGAGTTTACAGTGTTTATGAAGTACATGTTCGTTGGGTGAAGAGTGCAACCTGATATTGCATTGGTGTACAGTCGTCATGTCAGTCATGTCCTTTAATGTGGACTCTATTTAGGAACAGCAAAAATGTATAAATGGCCTACATCATAAGAGACTGGTTAATAAGCACAAAATAAATTGTGCACCTGAGCCTGGGAATATAGACCATCATGGTGCTCAATTGTCCATTGTTTCTCTCTCCCCTCAATCCATTGAGGGGATACTTGCACAATTGGTGCTCTTCATCTTTTTCACCATTCAAGGGGCGCTTGTACGTGGAGTCCATAGGTATTAGGGAACTAGTTATTACTATTATTTTGCTGATGAGACCACTCACCCTTATGCAGAGGAAACAGCAGAGTTTAGAGCAGTGGGGACAGAGGCGGGCATCTCGGAGCTTTTCCATGCAGATGAAGCATCTAAAAACTTCTGCCAAACTCTACAAAGTTATGAAAATATACATGGTTAACAATCAAGAACACTGTTCAATGACCTGGTCCCAATTTTACTGTGCTACTTAACAGTCAGCAGAAAAGTTGTGCTTAGCAAAGCAGAAAAATTTGCTAAACTTAAGGGGCCATTCAGAATTTTCAATGTTTTAAAATTTCGATCTTTTTTCCAAATTGTGGGTGGGTGGGTCAAGCTAAATAATTGAAAATCGAAATTTACTTTCCATGGAAAAAGGATAAAAAACAAAGAAAGATAGATCTTTTGACTTGACTGAACAACGCGCAAGCGTTCCGATATCGCGATGCGTGTTTCTTTTCCAACTTGGTCCCCTGTATGTGTACATGTACGTCATGTACGTGTACATGTATATACATGTAGACCCACTGTGGCATGAGAGGGAGGTGGTTTTTCAGTAGACTTGGATGCCGGGCGTTTCTAGCGGTTAGGCCGTGCAGAGGCAGTGTACTAGATCGGCTCTATAACACGCCGCGGGTTTCGATTACCAATCGCTATAAAAACTGGACTATTCAACCACTGGACTCCAAGACTACGAGAACCGCAGCCTGTGATGTGATGACTGCCCAAACCTGATATTTTTCTTTCGCTCGTACCCCTGCCCTGCAAACAGGGCAGGGGGTATGAGGGAATGTTTTTCTCAGCTACCTCACGTGACAGGCACAACCTCGTATGTCACGTCATCCACCTCATCCAGAAATAGCCCCATAAATGTGGCCAATTTACTGGACTGCCTCCGTAAATAAAGGCCACACTGCCACCATATACAAAAACATGTCGAACTTTGTCAAATTTTGATTTTCACATTTAGGCTTAGTTTGTAGGGGGTTTTTGCTTTAGAAGCATACTCACCCCCTTTATAGGCTAATTAGAAAGTGCTGACTTTTTCAGATGTAAAATTTCATGTTGAAATTTTGATACGCAAACGTGTGCAAACGAATCTGGAAATTTCACAAAAAAGAGACACCTGAAAAAGGCAGCACTTTCTGATTAGCCTATAAAGAGGGTGAGTATGCTTCTAAAGCAAAAATAAACTACAAACTAAGCCTAAATGTGAAAATCAAAATTTGACAAAGTTCGACATGTTTTTGTACATGGTGGCAGTGTAACCTTTATTTACGGAGGCAGTCCAGTAAATTGGCCACATTTATGGGGCTAATCCAGAAAATGACAAAACCACGGTCATCTTTGTGGCTTCCAAGACTGCAACCTGTCTTTCCAAACAGCATATCAGCTGGTAAAACACAAGAAAACTGAAGGCCACCACTGCAAAAGAGGAAGACCGACAACTTCACGCCGTCACTGAACTAGACACACATGTACATGTACATGGGTACACATGTACATGTACATGGGTATACATGTACATGTTCAAGTATATGTACACACTGTACATGCAAGTGCATGTACATGTACATGTTCAGTTTTTTATTAATCGAAATTAGGGGTGGGTGGGTGGGTCAAAATAATTTGGAAAAAAAGTCGAAATTTTAAAACATTGAAAATTCTGAATGGCCCCTAAGCACTATTTCACGGCGTGGATACCTTAAGCACGTTTTCATGGCGTGGGTGTGATAACGGTCGTGCGTGCATGGTGATTTTTATTGTTATGTCGATAAGTTAAGCAATTTTTTTCCCTCTGAAGTAAGAATGCTTTTTGCTGTGCTTATGCTTACAGTCTCTATGAAACAGATGGAGACTCTGTTAGTATAAAATTGTGTGCTTAGCAGCGCCGTGAAATTGGGCCCTCTTTTGTTTAAAGAGCTTGCATGACCCAGTGTAGTTGTCAGCAGAAAAACACAATGAACAGTACGTGTTACAACTTACTCTGACATGCCCATTGTAATCAGGTTCTAAATATGCGTAACTTTAAACTTGTGTCTATTTTCTAAATTGGTTTCCCTTCCTCCAATTCCTTTTGAATTAATAGTGTCATGTACAAGTACACGTGAAGCGAAGTGGAGTGTCATGGCCTAGCGGTTAAGAACACTGGACTCATGCTGTGGTGTTTCAGAGGCAACAGTGGCGTGGGTTCGAGCCCGGGTCTGGACACTTGTGCCCTTAAGCAAGGTACTTAACCATTATTGCTTCGTCCTTCCGATGGGACGTAAAGCCATAGGTCCCGTGTGTTGTGTAATGCACGTTAAAGAACCCAGTAACGCTTATCACTAAGAGAAGGGGTTTGCCCCGGTGTTTCTGGCAGTGGCTGCAATATGCGCCGCAGCACCTTGTAACCCTTAAAGGTGCTACATGTTGGGTCTCATATTTCTCATATTGAGGGCCTCCATGGAAAGCAGTGCCCTGCACTGATCGGTGTTTACCCTCATTACAGATGACGTAAATAAAATAAATAAAATAAAGTAACACTTGAACAGAATTTGATCACCACAAAATTGTCTTGAATATACGTATGTGCATTACATGCACATTAGAGTGTAGATTTTTCATTTTGTTCCTGTCAGGGATATCAGGTGGCAGAGGGTATAGAGACCCATGTGCTGGGAAATGTGCTGGGAAATGGGCTGGGTAACCATGGACATGTAGGAGACCTATTGGTTGGGAGTAGGGAGCGCCAATTCTTGACAGGAGAGATGATTTCCACTGCCTCCTAATTGATGAGGTGGTCATTGGCAAGGGCGTGCTTGATGATGGCTGACATGTGGTCCCCTCGCTGTCCATGCACCCAGTGTTCCTTTAGTCTGGTAGGGAGGTTTCTGCTGGTCTGCCCTATGTAGACTTTACCTCAATCACAGGGGATACGGTTACTTCAGGTAGACTCCTGGGCGGTTGCCCAAGTCAGGCTTGTCTTTGTGGGTGTGGAAAATGCATTGAAGCTTGTTGGGAGCCCAGAGGAAAACTTTGATGCTGGCTTTGCGGAAGATGCGTTGGAGCTGATGGGAGGCAGGACCTAGTAGGGAAGACATACTGAGGGTTGTGGGGTTTGGAGGTGTTGGTCTTTCATTGTTTGTATTCGTTGAGCTGAAAGGTAGTCTTAATGTGCTGGAGCTCTTGTGGGATATTGTCTTGGTTGTATATCTCGTATGCCTGATGTAACAAGGTGCAGTTGACTAATAATTTGATGCAGGGGTGATGGAAATATCGTTGGTTAAGGTTGCCATCAGTGTGGGTGGGTTTGTGGTAGAAACTGTGCTGAAGGAAGCCATCGGTGTTCCTGGAGAGAATGCCATCAAGGAAGGAGAACTGGCCGGCCTGTTCCTGTTCAAATGGTGAACATGATTGTGGGATATTGTCCCTTGAGGTAGTTGAGGAACTCAGTGACGGTGTCTAGTCCCTGGGGCCAGACAATGAAGGTGTCATCAATGTAGTCTAGCCAGAGGCTAGGGCGAATGTCTGTGGTTAGGGATGAAAGCTCAAACTCTTATGACTTTTCGGATTTATTGATTTAAACCAGGTTCTTTTTATTTGAATAAGATTTTTATTTTTTTTTTACTTTCAAAATATTGATATTATGTCTAAATGTGTGTCTTAATCTCCGCATGAATCCTCACACCCATCACTAAGGAGTTTACAGGCTCCTATAATACCCATCATCCACAAAACTCAATAAATTGATAAATGCTTTTGAAAATAATTGTATTGAATCTGTGATTTAAAAAAAAAATCACTTAATTTCATCTACATGTAGTCTACCTCATTGGTTCAAGGGTACATCGTAACAGGGGATAAATAAACCTAAGTCCAAAGTAGGTGCCAGGAAGTGGATACGCGGATACGGGGATACAGGGTGGACTTTATTTTTAGCGGAGGAAAATATTTTGGAGAACGAAGCATCCATATCCATGTTGGAAAATAATGAAGGCAGAGACAACGTGAGTTGAATGGGGAGCAGGGGAAAAACGTCTAAGTCCTAAGTAGGTGCCGGGTACTCCTAGAACTATGAGGCTCCACGTAGTGGAGCCTCATAGGTTCAGAAGCCCGCAAAATTGTTGTCAGCACAAAACACTAATTAAGTACAAAAACGTCCATCCCAAGCAGGCCGTTTTCCACAGAACCGCTGCACAGTTTGCCCCTAAACTCCATACAATACCTCATGACATACTCACGTTATGTGCACCCAACAAACATCGGTGGATTCTGTCTGTTTTTCGGCAAAAATGATGAAAAATATGCCCTTTCCGCACTGAGCCAACCTAACACTTGAAACGAGCACGCGTGCAGAATGATCGCAGTTATTTTCGGTTCGATCGCTCGGAGCGCGCCGCGGGGGGTACGTACTTGCACTTGTACGCATGTGCATACTATCGTTCCGCTCCTACACCATACCCCCCGCGGCGCGCTCCGAGCGATCGAACCGAAAATAAGTCCTAAGTAGGTGCCGGGTACTCCTAGAACTATGAGGCTCCACGTAGTGGAGCCTCATAGGTTCAGAAGCCCGCAAAATTGTTGTCAGCACAAAACACTAATTAAGTACAAAAACGTCCATCCCAAGCAGGCCGTTTTCCACAGAACCGCTGCACAGTTTGCCCCTAAACTCCATACAATACCTCATGACATACTCACGTTATGTGCACCCAACAAACATCGGTGGATTCTGTCTGTTTTTCGGCAAAAATGATGAAAAATATGCCCTTTCCGCACTGAGCCAACCTAACACTTGAAACGAGCACGCGTGCAGAATGATCGCAGTTATTTTCGGTTCGATCGCTCGGAGCGCGCCGCGGGGGGTACGTACTTGCACTTGTACGCATGTGCATACTATCGTTCCGCTCCTACACCATACCCCCCGCGGCGCGCTCCGAGCGATCGAACCGAAAATAACTGCGATCATTCTGCACGCGTGCTCGTTTCAAGTGTTAGGTTGGCTCAGTGCGGAAAGGGCATATTTTTCATCATTTTTGCCGAAAAACAGACAGAATCCACCGATGTTTGTTGGGTGCACATAACGTGAGTATGTCATGAGGTATTGTATGGAGTTTAGGGGCAAACTGTGCAGCGGTTCTGTGGAAAACGGCCTGCTTGGGATGGACGTTTTTGTACTTAATTAGTGTTTTGTGCTGACAACAATTTTGCGGGCTTCTGAACCTATGAGGCTCCACTACGTGGAGCCTCATAGTTCTAGGAGTAGGTGCCGGGAAGTGGATATGGGGATACGGGGTGGCACACGCGTGTGGGGTTTGGTTGAGCATCCAAGCGTGACTCCGTATCCGCGTATCCGGATACGAGGTGGGATAGGTGAGTGGCGGGGTATTCTGCAATTGTGCCGGGTTTTTTGCTTTAGAAGCATACTCACCCTCTTTATACTATAGGCTAATCAGAAAGTGCTGCCTTTTTCCGATGTCTATTTTTCGTGAAATTTCCAGATTCATTTGCACACGTTTGCGTATCAAAATTTCAACATGAAATTTCACAAAAATTAGACATCTGAAAAAGGCAGCACTGTCTGATTAGCCTATAAAGAGGGTGAGTATGCTTTTAAAGCAAAAACCCCCTACAAACTAAGCCTAAATGTGAAAATCCAAATTTGGCAAAGTGCGACACGTTTTTGTACATGTGGATGTGTGGCCTATGTTTACGGAGGCAGTCCAGTAAATAGGCCACATTTATGGGGCTAAGGCTAAACCTACAACCTACCTCGACCGTTGCTTCTTCCATTGTTGAACCTTAAAATTCAACAAATCAATGATCAACGTTAGGGATAAATCATGGGTTGCGCAGACATGCTGCTTGCTGCTTTAAAAAGTCAATCAGAAACTCTGGCAATAGTCTATTTCTCGATGGCATGGGGATGTACCGGACCGTGCAGTGATTGTGTAGGGCGCCCTCGCGCGTCCGATCTGCGCCTTCTAATTAGCGGGTACGTCAAGCCAGCTAGCTAGCTACACACGTCCGTTGTACGTACATAGTCGGGTAAGCAGACGACGCGACGAGAGTCAAGTTTTCATCATTCCTGCAGACTGAGAGTCTTGAGACACACAAGATAGGTGGGTATAGCGTAATAAAAGTGGCAGCCTATGCCTATGTATGGATGTTACGCCCGGCCCCAACTATCGCATCGGTCCCACTGTCCTAGCCCCACTAGTATGTGTGGCCGCGGTATATGCTGCGCTGAACCAGGCTCTGGCGCGACCATGTTGTGCCCATTCTTGAAAATCACGCAATCTTACGAATGCGCGCGCATTCTTAAGAATGAGCGCGCATTCTTAACAATGAGCACGCTTTCGAGTTTATTTTCCAGATTAAGGTCGGTCAGCATCACATTCAAAATGGCTGCCATCACCAGACGTTTCACGAGTGCATATGGGCTCCAGAAAGATTCAAGAATATCTCGGAAAATTGAACATCATTACACCTAAGCATCCCAGAAGTGATAGATGGGACATCATAGAATACAACCATATGTAAGAAACTGCCTGTAAATTTTATGAAAACGCCCTCAGTAGTGCGCGGTACCACGGTGTGTGGCCAGAGGTTCAGCGCAGCATACGGCGGCCACACTAGTGGGGCTACGGTAGGACTGTCTTAGACCTAGCTTAAGTAACTCCAGCTGACATGCTCCATATTCATTCACATGTGAATGAATATGAGCATGTCAGCTGGAGATGTCACGCCCCAACTATCGCATCGGTCCCAACTATAGTTGGGACTGTCCCAACTATAGTGCGGCAGTTGGGTCGGCCCAACTATAGTTAGGACTGGAGTTGCGCCGGATGCTTCATGCTTGATAGATCTTGTTGGATTAAATGTTCCGCGGCGCTGGCACCGTGTATTCGTCGTGCATGCATGCCGCAAGGCTGACCGGTCACGTGGTACTGCCTAGTTGGATGAGTTGTCCAGCTGCTGGGTTGATTGTCCATCAACATTTTGCAAAATTCAAAGTTTGCCATGGCCGGCCAACTATAGATGGCCGGGCCCCACCCATAGCTAATGTCAAAGGTCCCAAGTGAAGTCGGACAGTATGTAACAGAGCTGTAGGGAATGTTTTATAGTCGTCGTAAATCAATGTAAACTATCGTTGGGACCGCCAAATAAAAATATTGCGGTGGCCCAACTACAGATGGTCCCCACCCATAGATAATTTCATTGGTCCCAAGTAAAGTCAGATGTGTATTAGAGTTGTAGGGAATGTTTTATAATCGTACAACAATGTACACTATAGTTGGGACCGCAAAATAAAAAGATTGGAGTGGCCCAACTATAGATTCGCCCCATCAATAGCTAATTTCAGTGGTCCCCAGTAAAGTCGGACGTGTATCAGAGCTGTAGGGAACGTTTTACAGTTGTACATCAATATAAACTATAGTTGGGACACCGCAAAATAAAAAGATCGGAGTGGCCCAACTATAGATGGGCCAGCCCAACAGTGGAACTTACAGTTGGGACCGTCCTAACTATAGTTGGGACAGGCCCAACTATAGTTGGGCCAGCCCAACTGTGGAACTACAGTTGGGACAGGCCCAACTATAGTTGGGACCGATGCGATAGTTGGGGCGTGACAGAGTTACTCAAGCTATCCTAGACCCGTGAACGTGGCTATATACATAGCCACGCTTCAGTCTATAGTAAAAACACTCTATAGTGATCTACTCATCTCTATTGTAGCCTCCTGGCGTGAACTCTCCTCCATAGATGCTGGAGCTCATCTTCATTTTCCTGGAGGTCCAATCGGAGACTGTCAACGTCTTCTTGAAGTTCCTTTAGCAGTCTGGTCTGTCATAGTTTATGTCTACATCTTAATTAAATTTAGTTTTATCCTTTTGAGGCGTCCTATTTATTAATGAAAAAGTGTTACTCGCCTCCGGCCTCCCCAAGCCTCCTGCAGGGATGAGAATGTGGGCAAATAGTAGCTTGGCATGTAATCCCACTTCTGACACCATTTTTGGCGGGAATATTTTGTTACCCGAATCGTAGTCCTTTACCCGGACAACCTAACTTAGGATCAGTACCCAGCAGCCGGGAATGCAGGCTGGTTGGATGGAAATATACTGCCCAATACGCGTAGCGACATTCACCCATGCCTCTCAACCTCCAACATGGACAAGGACAGATGATTAACAACACAAATAGTCAATGACCTCAATTACTGAGTGATTTATTTACACAGAATCATGTCATATAATGGACCTCTTGTTAGATTATAATGTTGGCCTCTAATAAGTAAGTATTGGTCTATGAGCCTCTTAATTATATGGGTAGCCTTGCATTAGGCTCTCTAAGCCTCTTAATTACATGGGTAGCATAAAGCTCTATTGGTCTCTAAGCCTCTTAATTATATGGGTGGTCTCGCATTAGGTTATATGATAAGGCAGTGCTGGGCAGCACAGTGATGCCTCTGAATCCCGTTAAACTGTACTCCTCTACCTGTGTTTCCAATATCGATCCTTCTTCGAGGCTGGGGGTAGGTGAACGTGCATTCCTGGCTCCGTCCTGTTACAATCGGCAGATAGCTGTACATCACTCTGCCTCCAAAAGCCTCCGCGGACTCCGTGACTCATGAACCCAGCCCGGTTTCTGACCTAATAGCTGTGTACACATGTTATATTCGTCCCATCTTGGAGTACGCTAGCCCAGTGTGGCACAGCTCTTTAAGTGCAATCTAGGGTCATTGAAAGTGTTCAGAAGCATGCTGTTCGAATCATTATAGGTCATAGGTATGATTCATACACTTATGCACTCAGCACACTAGATCTCCCAACACTGGAATCTATAAGTGAGCTGGGGGGGGGGAACTACTGGTTAAGTTTGGTTACTGGGATCCAGTAGATTCAGGGGCATGGTCCCACCTGACAGAGAAGTAGGCCTACCACCACTGCTGGTCTCTAAATACCAAAGTGCCGTACCACCAGGTACAGGAGATCCACAATTCCTGCACTTGCGTACATTTTTAAATAATTGCCATGACTGTAAACTAATAGGTGCAATACCGTTCTTAGGCACTTTTAACACTTGGGTCACAAAAAATGGCGTTTTAGCGAATAAATATAATAAGGGAATAAATGTGTGCTCGAGAGGTTTTTATCACTCTGTTTAATACCGCTTAGAGTCTGGGTGCTGATAATTACCCGAGCCGGAGGCGAGGGTAATTATCAGCACCCAGACTCTAAGCGGTATTAAACAGAGTGATAAATACCGACCGAGCACATATTTATTCCCATTCATAAATACCTTATTCGTAAAAAAATATGAAATAATTCGTTCAAAAAATCCCGATTTTGTTCAACAAGTTCACTTCATGCTTTTTGAAACATCCCTCTAGCAAAATAATGGAGTGTCCAGCTGGCGATTAAGATGTAAACAACCCTTTTATGGAGATTGACGCGCGCGTAGCATGTTCTGCGCGATGTCACGCAGAACGCACCTGGGGCGTTGCGTTTTGAATTTAGAACTATAAAATTCTGACTCGCATGTAGTGTTGCGCATGCCTACGTGAGGATTGTGAACGTTCAACCAATGAAACGGTAAGAGGCACTGGATTTTTAGGAGACCACATTTTGTTGTGACACTGGAAAAGTGTTTAAGACCAGCTAGCCATGTCTTTATCATCCGTTTAAGACCGGCCACGTGACGGGCTCTCGACCAATAGGAATAGCTAAACTGTCTGAGGTATTTATGAATGATAAATAACGGCAACTAAGATATACAAAGTTCATTGACCCCTTCAAAGGTATCTATACTTTAAATATGATGTCCCCACATCTGAAAATTCTTTTCATGGCACCAAGAGTCAAGCTTTAGACTTGGGTCATGAAAAAAGTGGCATTTACAATCATGAAAGTCTTATTAATATCTATATATGTAGGCTATTGTTTTACAAAGGTCATGACCTCTCGTAAGGTGACCAGATGTTGAATAGTGAAATGACCTATATATGAAAATTCTCTTTACAGTATGAACACCTTTCATTTAGACATGAATTGTGAAAAAAAGATGCGGTTTAAAGAATAAATCTTACAAATAGCTATGAACAGGTTAACCAAGGTCATTGACCTCTCAAAGGTCACCAGAGGTCAGATATGAATGTTTCCACATCTGATCATTATTTTCATTGTATGAAGACCTATGACATAGACTTGGGCCATAGGAAAGTGAACTTTAGAAGAACACAAGTTATGAATAGAGTATGCAAAGTTCATTGACCTCTAAAGGTCACCAGAGGTCAAATATGAAATGCCTCCATATCTGAAAATTTTCTTCATGGCATGAAGAATCAACATGCAAAGTTTCATGCTTTTATCACAATTTGCACAATACTTAAGCATATTGGGGCTATGTCGCACCACTATCTATGTTTTTCAGAATATGACATAAAAATACAATAACCAAATGCTGCAATAGCCATGTGTTTGTTCACAAACATAAGTCTAAGCTAGAGGTTGTAGGAACAACCACACGGTGTTGGGCTATTATGTTTGAGTTGATAGCAAGACATTGAATAAAAGTTTGCCAAAAACACTGACAGTGTAGAATGACAGTTAGAGAATTGTCATAGGCAAGTCGATGCGCGTAAAAACTAAAATCAGATCTCTCACAGTTGACTTTAAATTGAATTTCAAAGATTAATCACGTGGTCTCAACATATATGCACGCCACATGTAGTGTAAACTTATCAAGTACAATCGTTACAAAACTCCATTAAATAGCTCATATCTCTAAAAGTAAAGGTCGCACACCATTGGCGCAAAATATTGCTCGCCATACACTCTTTATAGGGGAGTACGTATGGGGGACCCCCGTGCACCCCCCCCCCCCCCCCCCCCCCCGAACTAACTTTCACCAATTTTTTGGGGTGCCTTTTAGGGTCCTTAAACACATTTTGGATGTTAACAGGAAAAAAAAATCTGATGCGAAGGAGATATCCAAGATGGCGGCCAATATGGCCGCCAAAAATGGTAAAATCTTGAAAAAAGGCATAAATCAGCCAAATTATGTGATAATTGCATAAATAAAATGGTCAGTTATATGTTTTAGACCCTCAACAACTCAT